ACCCTACTAACCCTAACTAACCCTAACTTAACCCTAACTAACCCTAACTAACCTAACTAACCCTAACTAACCCTACCCTAATAACCCTAACTACCCGAACTAACCCTAACCTAACCCTAACCCTAACTAACCCTAAAACCATACAAGCCTAGCTAACCCTAACTAACCCTAACTAACCCTAACTAACCCTAACTAACCCTAACTAACCCTAACTAACCCTAACTAACCCTAACTACTAACCCTACTATAACCCTACATAACCCTAACCCTAACTAACCCTAACTAACCCTAACTAACTCCCGGAACCCGGCAAAGCAAACTATCATGAAGCAAAAGCTTACCGGCCCATTTCCCTTCTACAATGTTTCAGCAAAGTCCTGGAGAAGATAGTGGCCCAAAGACTCTGCACCGCTGGAGAAATCCTAGGAACGCTCTCAGCGAATCAATTTGGAGGAAGACCAACCATCTCCGCAATCGATGCCCTCCTGAAAACCTTAACACCAATTCAACAAAACCTACTACTGAAAAACAGTACCGGAATCGCTCGGCAAGACAGACCAGCGATCCTAACCAACGACATCCAAGGAGCATTTAATTGTGTCGATCACCTACTCCTCGCGGAAATCATGCACCAACAAAAATTCCCTATCTATCTGACAGAATGGTGCAAGGAATTCAACACCGGCAGAAAACTACAGTTCCAATTCAACCATGAGCTAGAGGAACCACAGCCCTATGATTCTGGAGTGCCGCAAGGTAGCCCCATGTCTCCGGTACTATTCATGATCTATGCCGGAGTAATTCTAGACCCAACTAGCAGCCCGAAAGAGATGGATACAACTTATATTGATGACGATGCGCTGGTGCAAATATCCAAAACACCAGGCTTCACAATCAAGACAATGGAGGAACGAATGAGAGAGAGACTAATAAAAGCTGAGCCCCTCCAAATTAAGTACGACCCGGATAAATCCGACCTGATCTTCTTCCGGCCCACCACATCATCCACACAACAACCACGACTTCCGGTCAAAATTAACAACACCAACATACACCCCAAGGAGAGGCTGAAATATGTAGGAGTCTGGATAGATCCGACCCTCTCCTTCCGGCCCCACATCGAAGCAGCGATCGCAAAAGGCCTTAAAGCCCTCCACCAGATTCGACACACCGCCCGCCTGCCAGGAATAACGGTTAAAACAATCCATCACATCATAACACAAGGTTTCCTCCCAAGTCTACTCTACGGATCCGAGGCTTGGTGGACTGGCGCAGACCACATTATAAGATCCCTCGAACCACTATATAATGAAGCGGCCCGGATCATCACCGGCCTACCACGATGGACCAAAAAAACTAAACTCCTCCGAGAAGCAGGCCTACCCCCCTTAGAACATCTCCTGACATATCGCTCAAGAAAGTACGGAACTAGAATACTCTGCACCGACGCAACCCACCCCAACAACGAATCCCTGATCGAGCTCCTCCCATACAGAGAAGCAAACATCAAAGGAACAGGCTTACACCGAATCGCCTCCCTACTACTCCCATACCAGACTCCCGGAAATGCGAGAGACAAGTGGACCCAAAATAAACTACTACGCGATCACCTATTGGAAGAATGGAACACACAATCAATACCGAATTACCATCATCGGGGGGAATTCCGCCCCCCTCCCAAGATAGCGAAACTCACCCTCACGGAAGCAAAAAAAGTATTCCGAATCCGGTGCCAAACCACCCGAATCGACAAACACGCAGTACACACAGATCCCGAACCATGCCAGTGTGGTATGGAAAACTCAGCAAAACATATACTTATGGAATGTCCAGCCTGGGCTCAAATCCGCGCCCCTCTGATAGAGAAGATCCCCGGAGCGATGACCTGGGAAAACTGGATGTTTAGAAACTTGAGAACGGATCTCATTCTACAATTTGCAAAAAACTCTCAACTCTCGAAATGGTACGAGTCGGCGGAGGCGGAGGCGGACCTGGAAGAGGGGATGGAAGAAAATGATTAGGGACGGGATTAGGAAGGGTAGTTTCCTTTTACCTTTAAATTTCGGTTTTATTTTTCTGTTTTGATGGATCCAGCGCTCGAGTCCGCTGAGATATGTTATTTCTCCTTGTCGTTGGGTTTTCTGGTTGAGTGTTGTTCTGGAATTTCCCTGTTATCGTTTGTGTTTGTTTGTGTTTGCTTTGTTCTTGTTCTTGTTCGTTTGTGTTTGTGTTTGTTGTTCTTTCTTTCTTTTGTTCGGTTCGTGTTTTAGGCGGTCGGGTCGGCATGCGATAAGTCTTGTACTTCAAAGCAATATAAGTTTCTTCTTCTTCTTCTTCTGTATTCTCCTTGCTCGCTAAGGCTCGCAAAAACTTTCTGATAATCAACCTCGCTTCAAAAACACTTTATTTTACTCCTCTCGGTTTATCCTAGTATACCATACCAGGCTGAGCCACTTTGTCCCCGATCGTACGGTCGCGTTTTGTTGTTCCAAGCGAAAGAAACCCACGAAAACTGGCTTCTAGCGAAGAATTCACCAGCATTGACCTCCCGAAAGGAAGGAAAAGAAACTTATCCGAAACATCACTCTACGCCGCCAGAAGAACTGGACATTCAGTTATGTCGCAGCAAGCTTCGCTCCAGTCCTTTTTCACCCAGTCTTCCCAGCAAGGGACAGCCCCCCCGCAGATCAGGAACACTCAGGTTCCCGACCCAACCCCATCCGGAGCTCAGGAACAGGAATTTTCCTCGACCTTTGCAACAGAATCCGACTACAACGACCCCTACCAACTGAGAGTTGACTACCTCTACCCGAGCATCGTCCCCCAGGACACTCACACCCAGACGGACCTGAACTATATTACCTGGGCCATCAGACATGCCACCAGCCGGATCTGCCCACCCTCTGACAGGATTGAAATCCTCGAAGAGCAAACGACTACACTCCGGAGAACAGTGGATACATTGAAACATCAAATCGAGGCGCAGACAAATATGATCACCAATATGCACTCGGCGATCCACGCGCTCCTCAACAAACAACTACAACCGCAGCAACCGCAGCAACCGCAACAACAGCAACAACAGCAACAACAGCGAAAACCACAACAACCGCAAGGACAGAGAATGCCCCCTCCAGCGGTCCCACAAACAGTTCCCCAAGCAGCGCCACAGGCAGCTCCTCATGCCCCCCCACCCGCACCTCCCCAACAAGCCCCACCTCGTGGATGGAAGGCAGGCACCTGAGCCGCCGTGGCCTTGGCACCCGGTCCTGCCCAAGGAAACTTCCAGGTCATCGAGAGGAAAAAGAAGTCCGCAAAGCCAAAAGCGGACCCCCTCTTCAAATCAGAGTACACCAAAATCAACAGGGAGATCATTGTTGAAACTACTGCCCCATCCGACGTTAACCCCTCCGAGATCAGGACCCTCGTCAATGCAAGAATCCAAGACGAGTCCTGCCATTTTATCTCAGCAAGAAGAACACCCAAGGACAACTTTATCCTGGAAACAAAATTTGTCACCCCTGCAACAAAGGCAATGGAATATGCCAAAGAAATTGAGGAGGCCCTCCTCACCCTACAGGTACCGGTTGCTGTCATCCGCGCAAACTCTAAATGGTCAAAGTTTCTCCTCCACGGAATCCCCACAACGGTCGGGGAGGGTATTGAGGCGGGACAATTGGTAGCATCAGAAATTAGAAGCAACTACGGAGAGAACTTCCAACTTGCCCAGGTTCCCCGCTGGATCTCCAGGGCAGAAACTCGAATGGAGAAAACCCACTCATCAATGGTCATCGCGCTCCCAGGACAAATTACAATGGAAACACTAGGAGTCAAATTCCTATCTCTCTTCAACCGATGCTGCCATATCGAGGCCTTCCTCCCCACCTTCCCGGATACCCAGTGTGCAAAGTGCCTCGAATACGGCCACCGCCAGGAGAAATGTAAGAACAATGGGAAATGCGGCCACTGCGCCGGAGATCACCTCACCAGTTTCCACCCATGTAATCAATGCCAGGGAGGATATAGATGCACCCACACCCCAATCAGATGTCTGAACTGTAAAGGAATCCATAAGGCCTCCGACCCGGCATGCCCTGAAAGAGTCAAACGCCGATTCCTCAACAAAGGAAAGGAAAACGCCCCACCCGCCCAAGACCCACCGGCCGCACCCATCCAAGAGTTGCTTCCAATAGTTCAAGTACCAGCCACAGCTCCGGTCGGAGCCACACCCATTCCCGAAGACGACCAACACATGACAAATAATGCCTAAGCCCCGAACCACCGCGCTCGCACACCAACTCAATTGTGCACGGAGCGAACTTATTACCAAGGCGGCGGTAGAAGAAGCGGAAACAGACTCTAGCATTTATTTTTTATTATTACAAGAACCATGGACCTCAGCAGAAGGATACCCACCAGAATCAAACCTCTTTTATATTTTTACAGCCAGCAACACCAACACAAAGTGTGCAACATACATCCGCAAGCATGCCAACCTCAAACCAAAACACCACTATACACACGAGAATTTCATAATATCGATTACGGTAGAAATCCAGAACAAGAAAACCCAAATCCTAAACATATACTCCCCAGGCCGAAGTGGCCCCTTCGCACAAATAGCAAGTACAATCCAAACCCTTGACAATTGCCTAGTAATGGGAGACTTCAACTGCCACCATCAGATGTGGTATGGAGTAAATTCACATGAATATAGAAACAACATTCGAGCAGACCGCGTCAACGGTGCACGGCTAAAACGATGGATAACCCGACAAAAACTGACCCTCCTGAATGAACCAGGCGTCTTTACGCATTTCCCCAGAGACAGAGGGAAAAGGCCCACAATCATCGACCTTACATTTGTAAAAGGCCCAACACTTGACCACAACCTACGATGGAGCACTGAACCCTACGGAGCGGGCTCAGACCACGGGAGAACCTCCGTTCACTTACACTTGGAAAAACCACCTTTTGTACCAAGACGAATGTGGCGACAAACAGACTGGAAGCTACTGGAGAACCACATGTCAAACATTTCCATCCCTGCAGAGGCATGGGAAACCAAGGAACACACGGAACAAACAGTCGATTTCTTCCTAGAACTGGTCAGGTCAACAGTCAGCATAGTAACACCACTCTCGAAGGAGGGGGTAAGAGCCAACTCCTGGTGGTCAGATGAAATGAAACAAATGAAGGCAAGGGTAAATGCAGCAGAAAGAAAGGCGAGAAACACAAGGAAACCCAATCACATGGAGGAACACCGCAAGGCTTGCAGAGAATGGACAGTCATGATCCGGAAAGCAAAAGCAGACCAGCGGGAAAAGACGATGAACGAGGCGAGAGGTAGTGAAGTCTGGAGAATGCTAAATGCAGGAAGGAGAAGAGACACAATCATACCAACCATACAAGGTGAAGAAACGTTTGCAGGGAAGTGTCAAGCTCTAAGAGTCCAACTTTTCCCCTCGAAACGGATGTCCCCCGACCACCCCCCCCTAAAAATTAGACCCCCTTCTTTTGACCTTAGCGACACCTTCGATACAGTCACCCCCGAAGAACTTAATAAAGCAATCGACTCCTGTCCAGCGCACTCGGCGACCGGCCCGGATGGCATCCCGTACACCTTTATTAAAGCAATAGTCAAAGCAAATACAACTCTAATTCAAGACATGTTCTCCGCCATGCTCCGGCACGGTGTACACCCAGCGGAATGGAAAATAGCTAAGTGTATCCCGATCCTGAAACCCGGTAAAGCAAATTATCATGAAGCAAAAGCCTACCGGCCCATTTCCCTTCTACAATGTTTCAGTAAAATCCTGGAGAAGATAGTGGCCCAAAGACTCTGCACCGCTGGAGAAATCCTAGGAACGCTCTCAGCGAATCAATTTGGAGGAAGACCAACCATCTCCGCAATCGATGCCCTCCTGAAAACCTTAACACCAATTCAACAAAACCTACTACTGAAAAACAGTACCGGAATCGCTCGGCAAGACAGACCAGCGATCCTAACCAACGACATCCAAGGAGCATTTAATTGTGTCGATCACCTACTCCTCGCGGAAATCATGCACCAACAAAAATTCCCTATCTATCTGACAGAATGGTGCAAGGAATTCAACACCGGCAGAAAACTACAGTTCCAATTCAACCATGAGCTAGAGGAACCACAGCCCTATGATTCTGGAGTGCCGCAAGGTAGCCCCATGTCCCCGGTACTATTCATGATTTATGCTGGAGTAATCCTGGACCCAACAAACAGCCCGAAAGAGATGGACACCACATATATCGATGACGACGCGCTGGTGCAAATATCCAAAACACCAGGCTTCACAATCAAGAGAATGGAGGAACGAATGAGAGAGAGACTAATAAAAGCCGAACCACTCCAAATTAAATACGACCCGGATAAATCCGACCTGATCTTCTTCCGGCCCACCACTTCATCCACATGACAACCACGACTTCCAGTCAAAATCAACAACACCGCCATATACCCCAAAGAGAGGCTGAAATATGTAGGAGTCTGGATAGATCCGACCCTCTCTTTCCGGCCCCATATCGAAGCAGCGATCGCAAAAGGCCTGAAAGCCCTCCACCAAATCCGAAACACTGCCCGCCTGCCAGGTATAACAGTCAAGACAGTTCACCATCTAATAACACAAGGCTTCCTTCCAAGCCTGCTCTACGGATCCGAGGCTTGGTGGACTGGCGCAGACCACATTATTAGATCCCTTGAACCACTATACAATGAAGCTGCCCGGATCATTACAGGCCTACCTCGATGGACCAAGAGAGCTAAACTCCTCCGAGAAGCAGGACTACCCCCTCTAGAACACCTCCTGACATATCGCTCAAGAAAGTACGGAACCAGAATACTCTGCACTGAGGCAACCCACCCCAACAATGAATCCCTGATCGAGCTCCTCCCATATAGAGAAGCAAACATCAAAGGGACAGGCCTACACCGAATCGCCTCCCTTTTACTCCCATACTAAACCCCCGGAAATGCGAGAGACAGGTGGAATCAAAACAAATTACTACGCGACCACCTGCTGGAAGAATGGAATACACAACCAATACCGAACTACCACCACCGGGGGGATTTTCGCCCCCCCCCCAAGATTGCGAAACTTACCCTTACGGAAGCAAAAAAGGTTTTTCGAATCCGGTGCCAAACTACCCGAATCGATAAACACGCAGTACATAAAGACCCCGAACCGTGCCAGTGTGGTATGGAAAACTCAGCGAAATACACACTCATGGAATGCCCAGCGTGGGCTCGACTCCGCGCCCCTCTGATAGAGAAGATCCCCGGAGCGATGACCTGGGAAAACTGGATGTTTACAAACTTGAAAACGGACCTTATCCTACAATTTGCAAAAAACTCTCAACTCTCGAAATGGTACGAGTCGGCGGAGGCGGAGGCGGACCTGGAAGAGGGGATGGAAGAAATTGATTAGAAACGGGATTTGGAAGGGCAGTTTCCTTTTATCTTTTAATGTTGATTTTATTTTTGCTTTGATGGATCCAGCGCCCGAGTTCGCTGAGATATGTTACTTCTCCTTGTTGCTGGGTTTTTCTGGTTGAGTGTTGTTCTGGAATTTCCTTACTTTTGTTTGTGTTCGTTTGTGTTCTGTTATTGTTTTCGTTTGTTTGCGGTTGTTGTTCTTTTTCTTTTCTTTCTTTTTGTTTGGTTCGTGTGTGTTTAGGCGGTTGGGTCGGCGTGCGATAAGTCTTGTACTTCAAAGCAATATAAGTTTCTTCTTCTTCTTCTGTATTCTACCGGCTCGCTAAGGCTCGCAAAACTTCCTGACAATAAACCTCGCTTCAAAAACACTTTATTTTACTCCTCTTGGTTTACCCTGGTATACCATACCAGGCTGAGCCACTTCGTCCCTGACCGTACGGTCGCGTTTGTTGTTCCAAGCGAAAGAAACCCTACGAAAACTGGCTTCTAGCGAAGAATTCTCCAGCCTTGACCTCCCGAAAGGAAGGAAAAGAAACTTATCCGAAACATCAATCTACGCCGCCAGAAGAACTGGACACTCAGTCATGTCGCAGCAGGCTTCACTCCAGTCTTTTTTCACCCAGTCTTCCCCACAAGGGACAGCCTCCCCACAGATCAGGAACACCCAGGACCCCGACCCAACCCCATCCGGAGCACAGGAACAGGAATTTTCCTCGACCTTCGCAACAGAATCCGACTATAACGACCCCTACCAACCGAGAATCGACTACCTCTATCCGAGTACTGTCCCCCACACTACCCACACCCAGACAGACCTAAATTACATCACCTGGGCCATTAGACATGCAACCAGCCGGATCTGCCCTCCCTCCGACAGGATTGAAATCCTCGAAGAGCAATCGATCACACTCCGGAAAACAGTGGAAACACTGAAACATCAAATCGAGGCCCAGATAAACATGATCACCAACATGCATTCGGCGATCCATTCCCTCCTCAACAAACAACCACAACCGCAGCAACCACAACAACAACAACAACTGCAACAAGCGCAACAACCACAACAACCACAGAGACAGAGAAAGGCCCCTCCAGCGGCCCCTCCTGCAGCTCCCCAAACTGTCTTCCAAGCAGCGCCACAGGCAGCTCCTCAAGCACCACCACAAGCCCCACCTCGTGGATGGAAAGCAGGCACCTGGGCAGCTGTGGCAGCTGCCGACCCCGCTCAAGGGAAATTCCAGGTTGTCGAGAAAAGAAAGAAGCCCGTAAAGCCAAAAGCGGACCCCCTCTTCAAACCAGAATATACCAAAATTAACAGAGAAATTATTGTTGAAACCACTGCCCCATCCGACGTCAACCCCTCCGAGAGCAGGACCCTTGTCAATGCAAGAATCCAAGACGAGTCCTGCCATTTCATCTCAGCAAGAAGAACACCCAAGGACAACTTCATCTTGGAGACAAAATTCGTTACCCCTCCAACAAAGGCAATGGAATATGCCAAAGAAATCGAAGAGGCCCTCCTCACCCTTCAAGTACCGGTCGTTAATATCCGCGCAAACTCTAAATGGTCAAAGTTCCTTCTCCAAGGAATCCCCACAACGATCGGGGAGGGCATCGAGGCAGGACAATTGGTAGGATCCGAAATCAGAAGCAACTATGGAGAGGAATTCCAACTTGCCCAGGTTCCCCGCTGGATCTCCAGAGCAGAGACTCGAATGGAAAAAACCCACTCATCAATGGTCATTGCGCTCCCAGGACAAATCACTACGGAAACACTAGGAGTCAAATTCCTATCCCTCTTCAACCGAAGATGCCATATTGAGGCTTTCCTCCCAACCTTCCCAGACACCCAGTGTGCGAAATGCCTAGAATACGGCCATCGCCAGGAGAAATGCAAAAACAACGGGAAATGCGGCCATTGCGCCGGAGATCACCTCACCAGCTTCCACCCATGTAATGAATGCCAGGGAGGATACAAATGCACCCACACCCCAATCAGATGCCTGAACTGCAAAGGAATCCATAAGGCCTCCGACCCAGTATGCCCCGAAAGAGTCAAACGCTGATTCCTCAACAAAGGAAAGGAAAACGCCCTACCCGCCCAAGACCCACCTGCCGCACCCGCCCAAGAGTTACTCCCAATAATTCAAGTACCAGCTACCGCCCCGGTCGGAGTCGCACCCGTTCCCGAAGACGACCAACACATGACAAATAATGCTTAGGCCCCGAACCACCGCGCTCGCACACCAACTTAATTGTGCACGGAGCGAACTAACCACCAAGGTGGCGGTGGAGGAAGCGGAAACAGACTCTAACATATTTTTTCTACTATTACAAGAACCATGGATCTCAACAGAGGGATACCCACCAGAATCAAACCTCTTTTACCTTTTTACAGCCAGCAACACCAATACAAAATGCGCAACATATGTCTGCAAACATTCCAACCTCAAACCAAAACACCACTACACATATGATAACTTCATAGTATCGATTACGGTAGAAATCCAGAACAAGAAAACCCAAATCCTAAACATATACTCCCCAGGCCGAAGTGGCCCCTTCGCACAAATAGCAAGTACAATCCAAACCCTTGACAATTGCCTAGTAATGGGAGACTTCAACTGCCACCATCAAATGTGGTACGGAGTAAATTCACATGAATACAGAAACAACATTCGAGCAGACCGCGTCAATGGTGCTCGGCTAAAACAATGGATAACCCGACAGAAATTGACCCTCCTGAATGAACCAGGAGTCTACACGCATTTCCCCAGAGACAGAGGGAAAAGGCCCACAATCATCGACCTTACGTTCGTAAAAGGCCCGATACTTGACCACAACCTACGATGGAGCACTGAACCCTACGGAGCGGGCTCAGACCATGGGAGAACCTCCGTCCATCTACACTTGGAAAAACCACGCTTTGTACCAAGACGAATGTGGCGACAAACAGACTGGAAGCTATTGGATAACCACATATCAAACCTTTCCCTCCCGGCAGAGGTATGGGAGACCAAGGAACACACGGAACAAACGGTTGAATTCTTCCTAGAGCTGGTCAAGTCAACAATCAACATAGTTACGCCACTCTCGAAGGAGGGGGTAAGAGCTAACTCCTGGTGGTCAGACGAACTGAAACAAATGAAGGCAAAAGTAAACTCGGCAGGAAGGAAGGCGAGAAATACAAAGAACCCAAACCATGTGGAGGAGCACCGGAAGGCATGCAGAGAATGGACAGTCATGATCCGGAAGGCAAAAGCAGACCAGCGGGAAAAGACGATGAACGAAGCGAAAGGTAGTGAGGTCTGGAGAGCCCTTAATGCAGGAAGGAGAAGAGACACAATCATACCAACCATACAAGGTGAAGAAACGTTTGCGGGGAAGTGCCAAGCTCTAAGAGCCCAACTTTTCCCCTCAAAACGGACGCCCCCCGACCATCCCCCCCTAAACATTAGACCCCCCTCTTTTGACCTAAGCAACACTTTCGACATAGTTACCCCTGAAGAACTCAAGAAAGCAATCGACTCCTGCCCAGCGCACTCGGCGACCGGCCCAGATGGCATTCCCTACACCTTTATCAAAGCAATAGTTAAAGCGAACACAACTCTAATCCAAGACATGTTCTCCGCTATGCTTCGGCACGGAGTACATCCAGCGGAATGGAAAATAGCAAAGTGCATCCCGATCACGAAACCCGGCAAGGCAAACTATCACGAAGCAAAAGCATATCGGCCCATCTCCCTCCTACAATGCTTCAGCAAAATCCTGGAGAAAATAGTGGCTCAAAGACTCTGCACCTCCGGAGAAATCCTAGGCACACTCTCAGCGAATCAATTTGGAGGAAGACCAACCATCTCAGCAGTCGACGCCCTCTTAAGAACCTTAATACCAATCCAACAAAACCTACTACTGAAAAACAGCACCGGAGTCGCTCGGCGGGACAGACCAGCGATCCTAACCAACGATATCCAGGGAGCATTTAACTGTGTAGACCACCTACTCCTCGCAGAAATCATGCACCAGCAAAAATTCCCCACCTATCTGATAGAATGGTGCAAGGAATTCAACACCGGCAGAAAACTACAGTTCCAATTCAACCATGAGCTAGAGGAACCACAGCCCTATGATTCTGGAGTGCCGCAAGGTAGCCCCATGTCCCCGGTACTATTCATGATTTATGCCGGAGTAATCCTGGACCCAACACACAGCCCGAAAGAGATGGACACTACATACATCGATGATGATGCGCTGGTGTAAATATCGAAAACATCAGGCTTCATAATTAAAAGAATGGAGGAACGTATGAGAGAAAGACTAATAAAAGCCGAGCCACTCCAAATTAAATAAGATCCGGATAAATCCGACCTGATCTTCTTCCGCCCCACCACATCATCCATACAACAACTACGACTTCCAGTCAAAATGAATAATACCGCTTTATACCTCAAAGAGAGGCTGAAATATGTAGGAGTCTGGATAGATCCGACCCTCTCCCTCCGGCCCCACCTCGAAGCAGCGATCGCTAAAGGCCTGAAAGCCCTCCACCAAATCCGAAACACTGCCCGCCTTCCAGGCATAACAGTTAAGACAGTGCACCACCTAATAATACAAGGCTTCCTTCCAAGCCTGCTCTACGGATCCGAGGCTTGGTGGACTGGCGCAGACCACATTATAAGATCCCTCGAACCACTATACAATGAAGCGGCCCGGGTCATCACCGGCCTACCACGATGGACCAAGAGAGCTAAACTCCTCCGAGAAGCAGGCCTACCCCCCCTAGAATATCTCCTGACATATCGCTCAAGAAAATACGGAACCAGAATACTCTGCACCGATGCAACCCACCCCAACAATGAATCCCTGATCGAGCTCCTCCCATACAAAGAAGCAAATATCAAAGGAACAGGCCTACACCGAATCGCCTCCCTCTTACTCCCATATCAAACCCTCGGAAATGCGAGAGACAAGTGGAATCAAAATAAACTACTACGCGATCACCTATTGGAAGAATGGAATACACAACCAATACCGAACTATCACCATCGGGGGGAATTCCGCCCCCCTCCCAAGATTGCGAAACTCACCCTTACGGAAGCAAAAAAAGTATTTCGAATCCGGTGCCAAACCACCCGAATCGACAAACACGCAGTATATACAGACCCCAAACCATGCCAGTGTAGTATGGAAAACTCAGCGAAACATACACTTATGGAATGCCCAGCGTGGGCTCGAATCCGCGCCCCTTTGATAGAGAAGATCCCCGGAGCGATGACCTGGGAAAACTGGATGTTTACAAACCTGAAAACGGACCTCATCCTACAATTTGCAAAAAAATCTCAACTCTCGAAATGGTACGAGTCGGCAGAGGCGGAGGCGGACCTGGAAGAGGGGATGGAAGAAAATGATTAGGGACGGGATTAGGAAGGGCAGTTTTCTCTTACCTTTTAATTTTGGTTTTATTTTTTACTTTGTTTTGATGGATCCAGCGCTCGAGTCCGCTGAGATATGTTATTTCTCCTTGTCGTTGGGTTTTCTGGTTGAGTGTCGTTCCGGAATCTCTTTATTTTTGCTTGCGTTTGTTTGTGTTCGTTTTTGTTCTTGTTTCTTTGTGTTTGTTGTTTTTCTTTTCCTTTCTTTTCGTTTTTGTTCGTTTTTGTTCGGTTCGTGTTTTAGGCGGTTGGTTCGGCGTGCGATAAGTCTTGTACTTCAAAGCAATATAAGTTTCTTCTTCTTCTTCTGTATTCTACTCGCTCGCCTCTGGCTCGCGATAGGATTTCTTTCCCCCGAGATGGAGTTATACTGATTCTCGAATTGCTTCGGTCCCTGAACTTCCCTCGCTCGACACCCCCCTTCTTTGTTCGTTCGGTGCCCTCACGGGTCGCGTCCACCGTTCACCCCTCGCCAAAATAACGGCTACTTTCGAAAGCCATCTTCGCCCCTCCTTATTTTCACTCATCGCACGAGTGATCCCACACGTCGGGTATGCACACTGTCAGTAATCTCCAGTCAGCGAGAACCTACTGCCAAAGCGCTCGACAGCCCGCGAAGTTAGCGACCTCTCGGTCGCGAAACTATCGTCAAATCTTTTACCCGAGGTCCCGTGACCTTACCCCTCTCTATCGGCCTTAACCAGGCAACCCATTCTTAACCGAGGCGGCCCGCTCCCCTCACCCCAACCCAACCGGTCTCCGAGACCACCCCTCAACACAATACGGTCGGCACTTTCGATTGCGACCCCCACACATACTGAGCCTTCGGCTCACCCCTTTTGCATGTCCCCTCCAGAGGACACCACTTCAACTACGACTCGGGCACAGTCTTTAGCCGTTGCTCCAGGGACCGACGACCCCACCCATTCTTACCTGACCTATTGGTCACCACTCCTCAATTCCTCGCTGCCTGACAACCAGCTGCCCGAGGACCCATACTCGATCCACCCCCCCTCGCTTTCACACCTGATGCTATTGCGGTTGGCCTTTCCTGCCTTCATGCGCGTGGTTTCCCAGTCCTGTTAAGGTTCGTCCACAGATATGACACCGGGAACGTTGGTAATGATACCGTTTCGGTTGAACACCATGTATAGGATTGTGCTCGCTAATGTAGTTGACGGAGAAGTTTGGGGTTTTATTCTTACTACGGGGAGGTTTCTTTGTTGTCGCTTAGATTCTGCTTACCTGTACTACTTGTTATTCGCGCCCTCTTCGTGCGCTGTTTTTGTTTTATTATGTACGCAGTTCTTGTAGCTGCGGTAGTTAGTGTTTGTACTTCGTCTTTGCTTTCGGGTTAGTCGGTGGAGGTTGTAGTCGGGTAGTTAGGTGTGCGATAAGCTTCGGCTTCTATGCAATATAAGATTCTCTCTCTCTCTGTATTCTACGCCACGAATATTATTCTTGGTCCACACTACGTCATAGGGTTCAGTTTGATTGTGAGATCAAATAGGGCCACCCCATAGTCCATAGTCTTGAATACCCTCTACTACGTCTTCGTCTAGGTTGTATTCCTTGGCACTATAGTCCCTCGTACATAGTCTCACGTTATACAAATGATAGGTTGCCCATCCTCATCGGGCAGGGATAGGTTCCGAGTGACAACGTATGATGCGGGAATGGCAAGCGGCATATTCTGGAGGGCAAGAAGTAGGAGATTAAAACAATAGGTTAGTGATCTTTAGTGTGGTCGAAAAGTCGAGCTGTCTCAAGTCCTCACTTTGAGTTTTTCTCTCAAACTCTACGAGCCCAGGTTCATCAGCAAACTGTACCAACTTGACCGGAGGCACGGAAGACATGAGAGATCTCCGGAGATACCCACCAAACTTTAATTCTCTAGAGGGGTTCGCGCATCCGACTAGTCATCCGGAGACTTGTCAATGGTTTGGGAGGCTATACCGGCAGTGATCCTATAGTAAGATAATCACATATATGTATTTACAGAGACACACTCCTGACAATCTGCTGAGCTAGTAGGAAAACCGTTTACCCCTTCCTACACCCATCCAAGGGCTCAGCAACATCTCCTAAACTCTCCTGAGCCACTAAGAAAATGATTCAACCCCTCCCACACCCTCACGAGAGCTCAACAAGGTCTCCTATACTCTCCTGAGCTACTAAGAAAACCCTTCACCCCCTCCCACACCCTCCTGACGGCTCCGCAGGGCCTCCTCTACTCTCCTGATCTCTGGGAGGGAAAGATCTATCCTCATACCCTCTCCCAAGCACTGTGCCTTTCTCCTGTCCTCTCCTGAGCACCCAGCTGCTCTCTTGACATCTCAGGAGAACCTCCGAGCAGACTCTAACAAGGCTCAGTGGGACTTAGTAACCCAAACTCAAACACATAGTAATTTACTAGCATACAAAATTTCTGATAGAGCGTAGAGACAATATATTTATTTATCCATATCCACCATAGGAATTCCTACCGCTTATGCCTCCTAGGCCCTTGGTCAGGCTTCAGAAGCCGTTGGTGTAATATCTACCCCTTCACCTAGCACCTCTGCCCTGTCACCTAGCACGAGTGACACGCCAATGTTGTCCACCTTGCTATGCTCGACCATAGCTCTGTCTGCCTGAGCCTTGCGATGGGCCTTTGCAGCCCTCCACGCCGCGATATCTGCTGCCAACACCTCATCGTCTTCCTTCTGCCCCACCTTCGATATCATCTCTTTGAGCTCTCGTAATTCCTCAACCTATATAGTAAGGTGATTAGTACGTGCAGCACCATGTGTAGTTGGATAGGGATGCGTACCTTCTCTCCAATCGTTTCTCGTATCACTTCTAGAGTGTCCACTTGGTTCTGTACACTTCTCTTCTTCAATGTATCCATAATCCTAGAATACATTGCTTGACATTCACAAGTCAGCAGGAGCCTTTCACAGGGCTGGAGATGCCTTACACATGATATCCATATTCTGGCTCGGGTTGAAGTGCACACCTTCTACGTAATCTCCAGTCGTCCAACATCGGAGGACAAACCAGATCCGGTACAGACCAGGCATTTGAATGCCGGAGAAATACCATCGACGAAATCAGGATCCTTTGCACCACGCATCTTGTCGCCTTTGTAATACTTCAGAAATATCACGTCCACGATTTCTGGAGCCCAGAAGTGCCGACGGCCTGTCTGAAGTCTGTTAGAGCCTTCTAAAAGGCTAACCGAAGACAAGAAATGCTTACCGAATAGTTGTCAGGGTCACTAATGAAACGGTCCTTTTCGAGTAGATAATTGAGTTTGGTGGCTCTTTTATCCACTGTAAGAAGCTCCTTCATCCTATACAGAATGCCCTTCACCATATAGTCTTTGATGGCATAAACAAGATGTGATCTCACTCGTGAAGATACGATTTGAACCTAGTCACATAAGCAATGTGTAAAAATATGTCATTGCGACATCGGTTATGTATGGTAATTACTCATGTATAAGGGATGACTCATAGTTGGAATAAGGAGGCTTAGCGCTAGGATTATGTAATCAGGGGATCACGTGGTACTAAGAACTATCTGTATATAAGGAGCAACAAACTCCCAATAACTGTCGCTGGAACTCAGCGGCGCAATAGTATCTTCTTTGCACTATAAACATATTCCTCACAAAGGTCACGTGTTCAAACCCTCCTCAAGTCGTCTATTCTCCCACACTCCAAACCACAGGTTATGAGCCCGGGTTCTGCCAAATAGAATCCGCACTACACCATCACCACCTCGCTTAACTCAACAACACTTCATACAACATCATGCCTTCAGAAGGAGAATCGTCATCCAAGGCTGCTGAGATTAAACCCTCAGAGACAACAGCCACCAGTAACATTCGTCTCAAGTTTGATGGACTCCCTAAGCTACAAGGGCAATCCAACTACCAAACTTGGGCGAGTGCCTGGAGGATAACGTTCGACGCTGTAGACTGGTGGGAAGCGTTGAGCATCGAGAACCCTGACGAGAATGACACCGAACTCAGCAACACCGAGATAAAGAAGGCTCGTAAACAAATGCACAGCCTTCTCATCTCTGCTGTATGCGAAGAAATACAACCAACAGTCGTCTCCGCCGAAAATGCATTCTATGCATGGAAGGCGCTCAAAGACCTCTACGATCGTGTCTCACCCAACACCACGATCACCCTCCTCAGCCACGTCCTAGACACGAAGATGCAAGAAGGCGGATCACTGACCGAGCATCTCGCAACCTTCGATGCGAACTGGAATACTCTTAAGTCCAGATGCCAAAGCGCAGACCACAAACTCGCTCAGGCCCTCCTACCCCTCACCAAATCCAACGAAGCCATGGCGGCATTCCTCCTAAGCTCGCTACCCAAATCGATGAGCAACGTTGTCGACAACATCCAGACCAAACAGGATGTTACTTACGAAGACGTTCGCCAACGACTACAGAACCTGGATGAGGTAGCCCCTCAAACAGGAAACAAAGTACTCCATACCAGGAGTACCACAAGCGACAAGGAATGCACCTGGTGCAAGAAAAGGGGACAGCCTTATAAAGGCCACGAGTACACGGAGTGCAGAAAGCTCAAAGAACAGAACAAGAACAGAAAGGGAAGGAGAAAGGACAACTCGGCATCGGTTGTAGTAAATGACTCTACAACCACTATCTGTATGGTACGCCACGACAACTCCCAACCCCTTACTTGGATCCTTGATTCTGGAGCAACCTCTCACGTCACACCCTTCCAAGACCAACTCATCGACATCCGACCTCACACCGGCAATGTCCGAACAGCTGATGGAACCAACCACGCTGTCACCGGAATGGGAAGCGCTAGTTTCAGCTGCCACCTTCCCGATGGAAGTAGATCCTCCATTCTCCTCACCAATGTGCTGTTGGTCCCAACCTTGGGAAATGTGGGATTGGTCTCCGAAACCGTGCTCGACAAAAAGGGATTTAGAACGGAGTCAGGAGGAGGAAGCAAGTTGGTTACAAAAGAAAAGAAAGGAATAATTTGGGGAAAATTGGAGAAGGGACTTTGGAATGTACAAGTAGTTAGCAATACAGTTCGTTTGACCACTTACGATGAATGGCATCAAGCGTTAGGCCACCCTGCGACACTAGAAAACTTGTATCACGACATTCAAAGGCTGCCTCCCAAACCAGAAAGTTTCCACTGCAGTCAATGTGCACTATCAAAAAGCGTACACAAGAAACCTGCACCAATTAGTACTAGATCCAAACGACCATTCGAACTAATCCACTCAGATCTATCTGGAAAGTTCAGTATACAGTCACAAGGAAAAGCTCAGTACTATATGTCCTTCATCGATGATTACACCCGCTTCGCATGGATATATCTCCTGAAACAAAAAGAAGACGCAAAGAAGGCCATCAAGGCCTATGTTACAAGGATCGAGAAACAGTATAGCACAACAATACTGAGATTCAGAACGGATGGTGGTGGTGAATACATCAACAAGGACATAACGAACTACTTCGATTCACAAGGAATAGTTCATGAACAGACTCCCCCATACACTCCTGAATCTAATGGAGTTGCAGAACGATTCAACAAGACGGTAACCACAATGGTCAGGTGCATGATCATGGACCATCCTAAGTCGTTATGGGGAGAAGCATACGCAACAGCTGTCTACCTCAAAAACAGGCTACCACACAGTACGCTTAAGGGAAAGACCCCCTTTGAAGCCCTGAAAGGAACCAAGCCAAGTATACAACACCTTCAACCATTCGGTAAAAAATGCTATGTCCACATCCCAGAAAACTCTAGGCCAGCAGGAAGCAAACTAGCACCCCGAGCATATGAAGGAATCATAGTTGGATACTCAGACAGTAATAAAATATACCGTATCTGGATAGGAACACAACATAGGGTAATTGAAAGTCGGGACGTCACATTCCCCCCTCCTGAATCAGGGGAAGTCTCAGTGGAACTCGACTTCATCCCCAGCCTGAAACCAGAAACGGCAACTGCACCATCAGACGACGGATACGAATCAGAAGACAGGTCTGATCCAGAACCCGAGTCAAATGCAATCGAAGAGAACCGTACAGAAATGCCAGGATTGTTCCCGGAATCACCGGAACAGGTTAGACAACCACCACCGGCTACACCACACAAGGGAAAACAACCTGCCGTACCTATGGGACAACCGAGAGACCCAAGAGACAACTGGGAGAAAATTCCAGCACCAGTCGTACCATTCAAAGGTTTCAAAGGAAAACCACTTGCGTCAACGACACCCAAAGGTACACCACCACAACCTCCAAAACAATCAGATCCACCACCAGCTCCAAGACGATCGAATCGCGTCCGTAAGAAAATGGATTATGAACTTGATAAGGAAATAAGAAGGAAGGAATACAACAACAAGGTAATACAACTACAGGAGCAACAAAAAGGGTACATTGAATCAATACGAGAGGACGGTCCAATAGATGAAGACGAATGTCAAGCAATGATTAAAGAATTCAAAGCCGACATTATAAAAGCCAGAAAGGATTTGGACCTAGAATACCAAGATATATCCAATGAACCTGCGATCTACCGTGTACACCTTGTAACCGAACCTTCAACCTATCATCAAGCCATGAACAGCGACGATCAACATCTATGGAAAAAGGCGATACAGACTGAGAAAGACGCCCTTGACAAAGCCCATACCTGGGACATTGTCAACCGACCAACCAACCGAGCAGTAGTCAAAGGAAAGTGGGTATTTAAAGTGAAACACAACGCGGACGGAACAATCGAACGGTACAAAGCAAGGTACGTTGCTAAAGGCTTCACCCAAGTACAGTACCAAGACTACGATGAGACCTTCGCCCCCGTTGCACGATATGATTCTCTACGACTCCTACTGGCACTAGCTGCACATAACGGTTGGATACCACAACAAATGGACGTCAAGTCAGCCTTCCTGTATGGTGTATTGAAGGAGGAAATATACATGGAACTGCCTGAAGGCTACAGGCAGGACAACAAGGTTTGTAAACTTCGAAAATGTATATACGGACTAAAGCAATCACCCCGTGAATGGTATGCTTGCCTAGCAGACTCCCTTCAACGGAAAGGATTCGTCCCAGCCAAATTCGACCCATGTGTCTTCATACATAAGAACCACCATCTATACATATCGGTGTATGTAGATGACATCATGATATTCGGACCCGACTCCCCATTCAGAAAAGAAATCAGACAACTCCTCAAGGCAGATTTCGAATGTACGGATCTCGGTAACTCGAAGTTCATACTGGGAATAGAAATAACGGTAACCAACAACGGTATCACGCTATCACAACGCGCATACATCAACAAGATCCTGGATAAATTTGGAATGAGTAACTGCAAACCAGTTGGCACACCTCTCGAACCGAACCTCAACCTTCACAAAGGCGAACTGGAAGACCAAATCGAGAAGCCAACTGAGTACCAATCTATAATAGGTTCACTGATGTACGCGAGTATAGCTACCCGACCTGATATCACCCATGCCGTTACCGCTCTATCTCAGTACTCCTCATGCCCAACCGAGGATCACCTACGAGCAGCCAAGCGAACTCTCCGATACCTCAACGGAACCAAAGACTGGAACCTGTTCTACCCGAAGGGGAATACCAGAACACTCGACGGATTCTCAGACAGTTCCTACGCTTCAGATCTAGATGACAGAAAATCGTTCTCAGGATACGTGTTCAGACTAGGGAAGTCAGCCATCAGCTGGAGAAGCCGGAAGCAGAAATCAGTCGCAGTCTCAACCACAGAAGCCGAATACATGGCCCTGTCCCTCGCAGCTCGACAACTGGTATGGATTCGTAATGCCTTGCACGAACTCCAACAACAATACCAGTACTTCATACACGCCGACAACACAGGTTCTATCGAACTCTGTCGGAACCCACGCATCCACGACCGGTCCAAGCACATCGACGTTCACTACCACTACACACGTGAACAACTCGAAGCCGGAACCTTCGAAATCCTCTATGTCCCTACCGAAGACAATGTCGCGGACATAATGACCAAAGGACTACCAAAACCAGCTCACCAAAAATTGTCAGAATTGATACGATGTGGCAAGTGAGGGGAAGTGTAAAAATATGTCATTGCGACATCGGTTATGTATGGTAATTACTCATGTATAAGGGATGACTCATAGTTGGAATAAGGAGGCTTAGCGCTAGGATTATGTAATCAGGGGATCACGTGGTACTAAGAACTATCTGTATATAAGGAGCAACAAACTCCCAATAACTGTCGCTGGAACTCAGCGGCGCAATAGTATCTTCTTTGCACTATAAACATATTCCTCACAAAGGTCACGTGTTCAAACCCTCCTCAAGTCGTCTATTCTCCCACACTCCAAACCACACAATGGTTCCCTGAGCCTTATGGAAGGCTTTAAAACTACTCACGTATGTTCTAGCACTTTTAGTCAGATTTTAACTTGTATTAAAATGATCGTTTGCTTCTGCCCAAAATCTTCGAATATTAATAATAAGAGAGTCAGGTTGTGGCCAAGGCTCCTCAAGCAGTGTATAACGCCCAAGAAGCTGTCCGGCATGTTTAATCATTGGCTTGTATTCTGGCAACTTGCTATCCGACCCGCAAACTGACTCCAGCCCAGGTGTTCCAAGCACGGAAGGGGAACCACAATATTGGGTAGCCGGAGGGGTATGATATGACTGTGAAGCCGGTGGTGTATGATCAAGCTCATGCTCATGTCGTAAGGTGCTTGACGAACGAACCGAGGAATTCGGAGATGTAAAGATGGCTCTCTCGAAGGCTTGCCCGGCCCTCCGGAGGTGCTGTTGCATCGTCGGTTTGGGTGGATTAACTGCATTACAATTGCCATACTTGTACGATAAGTATAGACAAACCAGAGAGTGTATTGAGCACATACCTGCGTTATTTTCACCGGGACAGATGAAGAAGCAATTGCTTCTTCTACTGGCCTACTTGATCTTTTACGGGAGGCAACAAGATCCCTGGCGGAGGCTACAGGAGCTTCCACCGCTCTTTTCCCGAGCCCTGATCCCTGGTTTACGGGAGCCTGAAAATGTTTTCATTCTGGGGGAGCCTGAGCTGGTATTCATCCTGGGAGGCGCCTTTGTAATAGCCGGTTAGGTGGTGGTGGTGGTGGAGAGGGCCTATATTCAGAGAGGGGCCTTGGTGTTGGTCGGGGCAGAGCTAGTATTGGTGGTGGAGGTGGGAGATTCTCATGTCCAGGTTCATCCTCATCATAGTCATCCACATAGCCATAGTCATCTTCATAGATCTCCAGGGCAGCGTCGTCCTCCTCTGGATGATTCTCAAGTCCGACCCACCTACCTGAGGAGTATTCCTCCACTGCTTGGCCCTCGGGATAGCTATCGAAGCTCTCTACAAGGCTCGGTGGGCGTTACCAAAATCTGTGTCCGCCTCTATTATCGATCCAGAAACTATAGAGTTTATAGAATTGAAAGAGCTGGCCGCACTAGAAACACTCATTGCACCCCGTAAGCGTTTATTAACAGAAGACGAAATTGGAGCACGCTGATTGGGTCCACCGGGAACTGAGCGTTTCTGTGATTTTGGTCTGGGAGGCATGCTAGCTGTGGTGGTAGTGGAGCAGAAGAGGCATCTCAAAACCTTGACGAACGCCCTTGGGGCCTCTACTATATAATATCCTTACTGGCTTTTCTTTGTCTCTTGGCTATAAATAATCTAACCTGATATAGTTATACCGATCAGAGCTAAAGGTTTTAGAAGCCTTTTCAATGGCTTGCTAAAACTTCACTACTCTGCATTTGAGCTATATAATTGCTAACTTATCACGCTAATCTATATTAGGATAACAACTGCATCTAGAAAAATCAAACATGCTTCAACAACCAACAAAAAAAACAAAAAATAATAAGCTTAAGAGCCTATACCCCCCACCTTGAAGGAGCCTTCCGAGCGCCTTGATAATCCCCTGATGAGCTTTCCGAACCCCATAATAGGCATTGATATTATTAACCTAGGATTGATGGTCCACATAGTCCTCATCGTCCTCATCGCCCTTATCGTCCTCTTCCTCCTCTTCCTCCTCTTCGTCCTCTTCTTCCTCTTCATCCTCTTCGTCCTCTTCGTCCTTTTTGTTACTGTCGGTTTGATTATGCCTATCTCCTCCTACGCTGTTATTCGCTCTGAACAGGTGGTTTCTGTCAGCAAAAGTCCAAAAGCGGGTACGATCGTAATGGCAAGAATCAAAATTAATGCCATTAGGGAAGTACAGACTATAATGCCTATTGAGCCTTCTCCCGAGCATTTGAAACCTCTCAATATGCTCATGGAGCATGGCCAATACGACTTGAAATTCTCTATCTTGAGTGGGTATAGGAAATCTCAAACCTTTCTTATTCACTCCATCTGCGAATTGAAAGATTTCTTTGTCTGCCTCAAGTTCGACCGGAATCAGATCATCCGGTGTCAGGTTGTCCCACCCATCGGGAGGGGGAGTTTGAGGCCTGTAAGAAGCCTCCCTAAGTAGTGCAGTGGGCCTATAGAGCACCGAGCAAATTTTCAATGGTTTGGCCTCACTGGTTTTGAGCCAGGCCTCCAACTCATCGGCGTCACCAATACAAGAATATTCCGGGTTTTGTGGATATGCATTGGCACCCCGGGGTGGAGGATTATTGATGGCTCCATAGAAGGCTCAAATGGCCCTCTCGGGGATGCCTACGGCAGGTCTTAGCAAACGCTTCATCGCAACCTTTGTTAACTCTTGCAAGCTAAAATTCGGGAGGACGGCAAGTGAAGGAGGTAGGAATGCTGGACCGAACCAGTCGTAGTGATGGTAGACAGCGCTTCTTGGGGCTCTTGTCTTCAGCGGGTCATTAACATGGATAGTTATTGCAGGTCTAAGTGTGATTCCAAATTCCTTCCAAGGATCGTTAGGTGAGCCTTGTGCAGGGTCTTCTGGGACCTCTAGATTGTCTAGTGCGCGGTTTACACCGTTGTGTGCTCTACTGGACTTCTGGATTCGATCAACGATAAGAAATTTGAGGACTGCTGCTGTGGTCCTAGAGTACTCTGAAGCCTTCTGTACAAATGTAGACTTCAAGATGCTGATAGCCCTGTGGTCGATTAGGTAGGTAACTAAATGATTGTATAAATCTTCTCCAGAGGTTAGCTTATTAACCCATTCTAGCCTAATCATCTCTTCCCCGAGGTCGGTGCGTAGAGCCCTATAGAGGGCATCCTTCCCATTAAGCTGCAGCACCCGCCTCACCTCTGCGATTGTAGTGCATTTAAAAGCCGCTGGTTGTCTTCCTCTTTGAGGCATTTCTCGAGATATTGGAGTGCCTTCTTTGAATATAAGCCGACGCTTCTTGGAGATGTGATGAGCCTTCCTTATATGTGCTGAAGTCTTCGAGGGGTTCTGTTTGGGCTTTGGAGAAGCTTGCTCTCTCCCGTCTACCAAATCTTGGTGTGACTCAGTGCCAAGAGATTCGGGGGATGATAATCGTTCACGGAAAGATATAACGGTTCTGATGCTCTCCCCAGATGGTACACTGAGCTCAGGGGAAGAATGCCTATACGGTGTTTCCTCTGGTGTAGCACAAACTTCACAGTCTGAATGCTCTTTCAGAGGGCTTGGCAGGACTTCTTCGTTTTCGCAACTTTGGCCAATGGCTGATTCAGCTTCCAGTAAATGATCTTGGTTAGGTTTAACAGGGAATTTTTCTTTGAGTATTGGGCCTTTTTCAGAGTTTGATGGGGCTTCCCAATTTGAATCCGATGATGAATCAGGAGGGTGTAGTAGTGGCTGTATATCTAGATGTCAATGATGATTCTGATAGAGTTTACACACAGTAGATCTAACCATCTTATATCTAGATGAGGATGGATGGCTTGAAAGGGAGATTGGTATTGTATTCAACTATAGTTAGGTAGATTCGAGGGCTTAGATAGCATTCTTGAAAGCTCCTGGAGCTGAATGGAGGTTGAATGGAGCTTATATACATGTATGTATACTATTCTCGCTATAGTGGAATAAACCTCGCTAGGTTATCTATTAGATGTTTGTGTTGGAGTTGGATCATGATATCGCACTCGTTGTGTTGGTAGAATCGAGCTTAGTACTGACTCTTAGTGTTGGTATCAAGAGTTCACATTGAAGGCCCCTGATGCATACCCAAGGAGTAGTTTCAAAGGCCTGGGGAGTCTTACCAATGTCTAATATCAACAATGAGATCTTGTTGTCCATTTTGTATATGAACCTACTCGAGCCCTGGAAGTTTTGATCGACATCTAGTGAAAGAGCATTTGGGACAAGCAGCTGAATGGTATAATACGCAGTTCTCCCAGCCATGTGAAGAAGCATTGGGGAGCCTTCGTAGAGGCCTAGGTGAGCACAGTGAGGACTGGGATTTGGCGGAGTGCTACGAATCCGAATCCGACGAACAATCGAATGGTGATTTGGACCCTGGACGTCTACTGTTTAACCTAGCCACTAGAATATATGAGGGTGCAAGTGAAGCCCTTTTCCCAACATCGGGATATAACGAGGTCACAGATAGCTTTCTCATAAGCCCATGGAGCCCGCTACAGTCCGCAGAGGAATTCAAATTATCGCGTTGGTTCCTACAATCCGGGGTGTCCCAAGAGCAAATAGATGATTATTTTCGCTCTCCTAGCGTTCCAAAAGGCTCCTACACAACTGGTAGAGGCTTCACATGCTGTCTTGATGAGATGTCTTCTAGGAACGGTCTTCGGACAGAGAGTTGGGTGCACTCAGGGGTTGAAATAGGTAGTCAGGTGGTGCCTTACTGCTACCGCGATCCTATGGCTATAGTACGATTCCTTTTGAGGCAGCGTGCATTCAGGGAGTCTTTGGTGTATGCCCCAACAATGGAGTATAATGAGATGGGAGAACGGATGTATGGGGAAATGCAAACGGTGGACTGGTGGTGGGAGATGCAGGTTTGTAAAGCCCTCGTGAATATGAACTGAGCATTCGCTAAGAGATATTAACAATACTCTGCGTGAGGGATCAACGGTCATACCAGTGATTTGCGCATCGGATGGCACCCACCTAACAAATTTCAGTAGAGATAAAAAGGCTTGGCCTGTTTATTTGACCAGTGAAAATATAAGGTCGGAAACTCGAAATAAGCCCTCTAATTACGCGATTGTATTACTAGCAGTACTACGTGTTCCACCGAAGTTAGGAGTAGGGACACGTGCAGATGAACAGCATTGGCAGAGCCAGATGGCTCTTCACAAGGTTCTCGGAGATATTCTCGATAGCCTCCAGAGCCTTAGGCAGAGCGGAGAATTGATACAATGTGCGGATGGGTTCGAGGGATTATGTTATCCGATACTATGCGCATGGATTATGGATCATCCAGAGCACGCCGCATTACTAAACATCAATAATGATGCCTGCCCAAGGTGTGAAGTTGATTTCAAAGGCCTTGGAGGCCTTCAACAAAGTGCGCCTCGGATTCAACAGAGATATATGGAAATGGCCAAGCGGTATAAGATGGATACCTCCAATAAGATACCTGTGGAGTACCTGGTATCGAAGTGCAGTAAGACTATCTACATTGCCTTCTGGGCCTTGCCAAGGGTCAATGTGTACGATCTTCACAAGCCGGATATCTTGAATAATCTTTATTTGAGACTATTAAAACATATGATGGGGTGGGTTCAATTGTTTCTGAAGAAGCACAAATAGCTAGAGGAATTTGATCAGGCCTCCATGTCTGTTGGGCCTTATCCAGGGCTCGCTGTACCTAACAAGTTATATCGTGCAACCACTCAATGGCAAGGTGAAGAAATGCGACATCTTGGTCGGATAGTGTTAGGAGCCTTTACCGTGGCTCTTTGGAAACCTCCAACGGCTTTAAAGAGGGATTTCGGGAGAGTGTTGAAGTGTGTAAGAGTGCTAATTGATTTCCATCTAATGGCACAATACACAACATACTCTAGGGAGACGCTAGAATATCTACAGGGTTAGCTCGAAGAGTTCCATAAAAACAAGGGTGTGTTTCTGGAATTTAAGGCCTATAAACACGCTAAGAAAGATGCAAAAGATCAGACAAGGGCACTAGAAGGCCCAGTAAGCCTTGAAGGATGCTTGGAGTAGCTTGAGGAGATTCGTGAAGGATCTTATTTCAAGTTCATTAAGATGCATCTACTATCACACTTTAGAGATCACGTAGAGCGCTTTGGGAATATACCAATGTTTTCAACAGATATCAGCGAGCTCGCCCATAGACAACAGATAAAGATGGCTTATGTAGCCTCGAACAAGGTCGACGTGACTGTTCAAATTCTCGATTTCCATTCGAGGCATATGGCAATGAAAGTACGGATATTAAATCTGGAAGATGTTGTTCTTTCTCTTCCGGAACATTACGAAGGCTTGGGGAGCTATCGGGAGTGTCTGCGAGGCATAATAGACATCTTCAACAATGAAGACCGGCAAAGGGTAAAAAATGAAGGGGAGGGTTCTCCGAAACCTAAGTTGTCTGCAATAGATTGTACCGCTACTAGGTTATCGGATATCGCGGATTCTATCAACTTTAATAGAACAGCGCTGGCAAGGGTGGTGTCGGAATACGGTGAAGGGTTAGGCCAGAGTGAAGAGAGTTTATTAAACCTTCTTGACTATCCCGTTAGATGTTTTAAAAGCCTACAGGTCCTGTATCGGTTTTTCAAAAACCTGAGAGTCACGAGATTCATAATATAAGGTGTACAGGTGAAGCACTATTTAGAAAGCGGGCGATACAAAACGACTGGGTGTGGATCAGAGTGGATACTACGGAACCATGAGGTGGCTTTCAGGGAAGATTACCGGGGCACGTACTGGAAATATTCCAGTTACGTGACAGTACTACAAGGAAGGCGTATCAACTCGCCCTTGTTGAACTGCTGGAGGCTAGGGACAGGGGCATTCCAGAAGGCTCACATGGCCTTCTGAGAGTCGGGAGGCGCTCCTGACAAAGGTTTTGGGTAGTGAATATACGAAGCATCTTGGGAATGGCCCATTTGTTTCAAGTAGAGAAAGGTCAATGGCTAGTAAATACTAGAATAGATTTAAAAACATAGAACGAGTTTCATATGTGAGGGTGCAGTAGATATATACATGTATGGAATAAAAGAAGACTCGCAGAGCATTTTTAAAAACTTGACAAGCCATAACGAATGGCTCAGGGGGCCCTCGCAAGTGTTGATTGGGCTAGTTGAATGTTATGAACTATATTGTTATACTAAAGGTATGAGTTATTGGGAAGTTTGGAAGGTTCCGTGGGATTATTAATCGGTTGCTATTTTCTTACTATAAAGAGTTGTTGGTGTTTTCTGTTGTCTTTCTCTTTCTTTCCTTACGCAACATCCTGTATTCTACTGTGGGTTATTACTTTGGGGGATTTACTTCGCTTCAATACATTACTTTACTCTCAGTTCACGTTACGTCTGCTGTCCCTCATGCCCTGTGCATCCGCTGTTATGATCTTCGCCGCCTTCCTGTTCTTCGCCGCGTCCCCCTCGGCCCTTGTCGCCGTCCTCCCCTCTGTCCTTGTACAGACCGCCGTCCCTGCCTTCGGGTATACCATTGCACTATCCCTCGCCCTCGCGCGAGGCCTATCCTTCCCCTTAGGAAACCTAATCATGTCCCTCGACCCCTCAGCTTCCGCCTCGCCCATGGTTCGTTACATTGAAAGTGCAACCATGACAAAAGAACATAGCTCGGGGTGCTTCGAAAGGCTCGGGAGGCCCTAGCAAGTGCTTGTTGGGCCCGTTAAAATGTAGAATTTCGGTGTACGATGGAGGCCCTAGGTAATGTCTCTGGAGAGCATCCAGAGAGAACGGGGCGGCTCCGGAGGTTCAAGGGAGTAAGCGAGACACGAAGATGCCGGGGAGATGTTAGGAGAGAATGCGCCTTGGCAGCGGTCTTTGGAGACAAGTAGAAGTCTTCGGAGATACACGGTAGCTTGCTGATGTTGACCATGAGTTGAGTTGGCTCGAGCTCTATCGATGGCTCGACTTGAGATAGCTTGAGCTATTTGTATGTTTCTATTATTAGATATTCAGACCTAGTGGGATAGTTTTTGGGTAGATATTTTATCACATATCTTTGTTCGGTCTTTGGTAGAGTTTTTAATATGTGCATGAATACCTATAATGGAGCAGAAATGGGACCTAATTTTCACAAATACATTCATCATTTAGCTTGAGATTAGCTTGAGAGCTCGAGACTTTTCCCACGAGCACATGCCTAACCATCTACGAGTCGAGTTGGCTCGAGCTATGGCCAGGACTCGACTTGAGCTGGATCGTCGACCACACTATTCATGTTGCAACATGAAGAGCCTGCGCGCACACAAAATGGTAAGAGTGTCTATCTCCCTCTATTTACTGAATTGGACCCGCGGGCACCCGCGGGCACCCGCGGGTGTCTAGACGAGTGCTAGTCCATGAAGCGGTTGGTATATATGTTGCTTTTTATTGGGGGCTGGTCGGCGGGTTATTACCTTCCTTGAACAGCCATCATGCCAAGAAGAGCAGAAGCTGAAGACCTGCCTCACAGGAAAGCAGTACAGTCGCAACTCGATATACTGGAACTCATTTTGTCGGATACCTTGCTGTCCCGGACGAGGTATGCGGATGCTACTTTTTCTTACCAAAATGCATTTGCTATCCCGGATTTTGACCTTCTTGGACCGGATGGAAATCGTCAGGAGAGTGAACCCCTGTTCCTACAGAATCAAAATCTGCTCTGGCTAGACCTCGCATGAAGGGTTAGGGTTGATTTGGGAAGAGGATCAGAGAGTGGTGATGCTCGAGGGGTTTCATTTCTTTTCTAGTGTGAAATCTTGCAACGATTCTAACCGTGCTATTGATTATTTTCCACTGCCGCTGGTTGTGGATATATACTAAAATTTTTAGTAAAGTTGTAAAATATCGCGAAATCTCATAATTGGACATTACAACATATGTATAAGGAATGACTATACCATAATTCCACAGCCATGGTGGTCGAACTTTGCTGGAAGTATCATAGGGATGGAATTTGGGGAGGTATTTGTTAGTGAACCACATGTTCCGTTCCCTCCCAACAATGGAAGTGTGGCAACACCTCAAAAACCATCATTGGTTAGAGTACTTTTGTGGTGTAGAACTATTCCCATCTAAGGCCCTACCCATAGTTTCTTGGCTGTCAACTTAAGTTTTCGCCTGCTTGGCTCTGGCGGAGCTGTACTTGCTCTAGCCTCCCAATCACCCGCCCTTCTCCGTCAACGTTGACCAAAGGTAGGAACTATCTGCACTAGCTGTTGACCACGTTTTGTATTGCTGGTTGACAAAAGTAACCGTGATTTTGCATTGCAACCAGATTTTGTATGGGAATGCGTCTTGAAACAAGTATAACTCCACAACCATAATAGATATGAAATAAAGGATTGTATAATTGGAAAGTATTAGATTGATAGAACTTATCCGTTGGGTAGGAATCTCGAGAACCGACTTTGGGAGTTGGTCGATTTGGGCAATTTTTACTGGTTGCTACGCAAAATCACGGTTACTTTTGTCACCCGGTAATATCAAAAGTTGACAGAGGGTACCCACCAGTTGACTGTGACCCCCGGTACTAGTAAGCAGTATAACATGAGCTCTCTGAAGTAGAGTGTAAATTACATATTCCAAGAAGTCTTTCCTGTGCCTAGCTACGGAACAGTGCGTAATTGCAGGTATATTCTATCATGCACATACGAAACCTGATCAGACACTAAAATCCGCTGGAAGAGTATGTGTTGTCACCCAAACAGATTTCTTGTGGCACAAAGCACAGCGTAATTGAAAGCCAATCAGAGGAAGGCTGGGCCCAAGACAGATGGGTGGTATTAATTGAAGGTGACATAAATGGGCGGAATATACTAACCAGGAGACCCAACAACGGCCACTAGCCCCGGGCACTCGTACTAACGACCAATCACCAAGGTCTATCCACCAAATCCACCGCACGCAGAAGAAAGGTTCGCCGGAGAAAAGTAAAGCGAGCGGCAGAAAGCCAAAAAGCGAGCGGGAGAAAAACACTAGCGCGCGGGAGACCTGGTACAGGAGCGAAGGAAAAAAAATGGTTACATGCACAGTGCGATGCCGGAAGTGAGGGTCAGGCGCAACGCAACGCGACGCCACGCCTGACCGTCTCATATGGCCTACAACTATACGTATCTCCGTCAATCGATTCACAGTTGCAGCCTTGCGCTGCTGTGGGTCTTGGCGCGAGTGATATTCTGTGATTAAACGCACGAATTGTGGAATGGCATGGCGAGGCGTCTCAGATTGTGTCAAGAGGAGGGCGGTGGGGTGGGAGGTGGCCTTTTTGCGGTAGTGCTGCGGCGCATCCAGTGCGGCATTGGGCGGGGGACTTAGTCTGCGTAGACGTGGTCGTGGGACGTGGTTGTGGTCGCCCGTACGGTGCGTGCGCGCTATGTGAATACTGGTAGTAAGCGAAAAGGCCAACCTTCTCTGTTTATGTTTATCTTTCAGAACATATTTATCATTCTCCTTATATGATTTTATGCCTTGTTCATGCAGGGTATTCATCTGGGTCTGTTTCGACACATGTTTGAGACCTGCCTCTCTTTGCAGCTCTGATAAACTCATTCGCCTTTTCAACCTTAGTATAGACATTAATTACTTAGATTTGAATAACTAACCTAGTGGTGCGGTCCCTTTTTGCTGTAGCGACAAGATGATCGTTGTCCTGCCCCAACATTTATGTGGTCGAGCCCGCCTGGGAAATGGGGCCAGGACATCTTGCCTTGTCAAATTGCTAACAGTTGGACTCAAACCTCCTAGATTTCTTTTGAATGTCGATAAATCCTTGAACAGGTATCCTTGTTTAAGCTTAGTTGACGGGCAATTGAGAAAAATGACTCTCCATTGTGACGCATTGAGGTGATGGCCGCTCTTTTTTCTTGATCTATCTGCACAACCCGATGTCTCCTTCCACCCGCATGAGCTTGCTCTCCATCCGCACTGTTCTGGCTATTTTACGTATTCAGATCAAGACTTATTGCCTTCCAATCTGATGGCTCACTTGATGCGAGTCTCTCCAACAGGTTCCCGCTCATCCTGTTGAGTTCCGATAACTTGTTTCGCTTCGTTTCGCGATGGCGTATCGTTTCATGACGCCGTTTCGTTTGGATGCGTTTCGTTTTTGTGGCGTTTCAGTGGACTAGCAACATCATTAGTACTTGCCAAATAATTCTATGAATTGATACTGTACATATGGAGGGTGTTGAATTGTTATCACCCTGTTGGGTTGAGTTGCTTTCGAATCACTGCTGGTGTTGCACGGAACCCTTAAAACTGGTTATGTTGCTAGACGACCGAACACCCCCGGTTGCTGTCCGCTGCACCTTGAGACCACAGAAGATTTTCTGGCAAGTATAAGAGTCTCTGCAAAGAAAGTGCGTAGATCTGCTAGGACTATAAGTGGATAGAGGGAACGAAACTATGTACATAGAATTGTACTATAGGTTAAGTCTCTGGTCACAATAATTTCCTAGAAGGCCTAGTCCTTATTGGAATATCCCTTAAGGGGCGCGCCATATGGGAAGGCACAATAACCCCTAACCGTCAGTACCATTAGGGAATATTCGAACATGGACTCGTCCGGTGGGGGATATTCCCGAAATGGCAACCTTCGATCGTGGACTAGAGCATCACCAATTGTCTTACTTCTTTCACTCTCACTCTATCTCTCTTTCATCCCTCAGGTTTGTTGAACAATACCGGTGGTCACTCCGTAAGTAGTTCGTTTTCACGGGTTTCCTGTATTCTTTAGTTTGACGTAATTATTGTCACTTGCTGGAATCGTCGATTGGGATATCGGGATTCAACCATTTAAACGTAGTGGGCGGCAACAAGGCACACATGCAATTGGTCCTCCGATCCATCATCGGATGGCGGCTTCGGCCTCATGCGCGCAGTTTATAAAATTGACCCTTTGCCCATGCGGCAGTGTTATGGTTGGCGCAACTCCAGGGACAATATATCTTTTTCTTTTAACGAGATTTGCCTCCCAGCGGTTGCTTTTTCACCTTGTACGAGTTGGGTGCGAAAGCTGGGCCACATTAGTTTGATTCATAGATCTTCCTATAGATTGTAATTGCTAGTGTGGAGACGCTATGATTGTTAAAGACGGGTTACAGGTGGTGACCTCACAAAACAATGTTCACGGAGTCAAGGATAGCTTTACTGCACTCAGGGCCATATCCAGGCCGCAGAACCAATTTGAAAACAGGACAATTGATATATATATATATATAGATCGCCGCTAGGACGTACGTGACTAAGCTTAAACTAAATAAAATACTACTCTTCAGCGGGCGGATAGGACATCTCATTCTCAGTATCACAAGAGGGAGGAATAATGGGACATGAGGTCGATAAGCTGGGAAGGCTCGGGAGGCTCGGGGGTGACAGCAAGTCCGAAAGCTTGGTTCCCAGCCCATGTTTCGCGACGGAGTCCTTGCACTTCCGGGCAATCATCTAAGCGTGCAATGATTAGACATTGTAAACGAAAGCGGGAGAATGTATGGGATGCTACCTTCATACGCCATATACTAAGCAGCAATGGACACAGCCTCCGTGGCTCCATAGTGGTTGGCACATGCAACAGTTGGTCACGACTAAGGATACATACATGGCCTTTCGCATACGTCATTCGAAGTACCTGGCAATGCAATCCTGTATTATACCTGTCAGGGAGACTCATAAAGGAAATGGATCCATTACCTGCGCTGACGAGACCCGCCATATGCATCTCTCTCAAAATCACCCCATCCTGTTTGACGTGACCCTGTAGACGGTACAGCATTCCATGAAGGGATTTAGCCACCTTCCTGGTGTCACAGAGCCATTTACTGCTAGTCTCGCCGTCAAAGGTTCTTGAAGTTTCCATGGCGAGGTACTCAAGTTGCCCATTGTTGTCCTGAGCTAGTCCATCAAAACGTGCACCAAGTCTTTTGCGCCTTGTGGTGGCCACCCGGTCGCGGTTCCTTCTTGCGGTGCTCTCGATACTCGTCGTCTCACCGCTACACCGCTGTTAGATCATGATAGTACAGGGAGGTAAGATGGTAAATATTACCGGCGAAGAGTGATCCCGCTAAGATTTTGGAGACAACGGTCCACGATGACGGACCATATATTGATGGTGTACCATTGCTCGTTATGATCTTTGAGGAGTATTTGATCGGGGTCTTCGTATAGAGGTAGCCTGGGGGTCTTGGTAAGCCATTGTACGCATAAAGTCGGTCGGGTCAGGGCGAAATTGGTTCCATTGCGAAAGGGAAATAGAAACAAAAAAAGATGACAAAAGCGCGCGCCTTAACCCTGCCCGGCTGGATGTACCATGATTGATTTAGAATTCCTCATTTGTCGTTGACACACCACCAAAGATCAGGAAATGATTTCGAAATTGTCCAGTACTTACAGCATTCTAAAGCATAGATCAATCCAATCCAGGTCATAGTTCTCCGCTCGATTATATTGTTCATCTTCCTTGAGGAAGGAGGTACTACCCAAAATCTTCCGGAGCTGAGCGGGAGATTCGGCCTGATCAAAATCAATATATAAACACAAGGGTGCCAGATCAAGACGACAAAAACATACATCCCAAAACCGCTCCATTGAGCTCACAAGTTTCTCATCAATATCCGGCCAGGGCGGCACCTGCGCGAGTATTTCTGGCCAGTCATCCGGGTCAAAGAGCTTTTCGACAGATGGATCAAGAACATCAATTACAAAGGACCGTGCTAGGCCCGGAGCATTCCGAAGTACATCTTCCACATATGCCCCACTGGGCAGTTTCCACATGGAATCGGCGGTCATCCGGCGATATGTATTATTATTATCCAATGACGCGATTCCTGCCTGATCACCGCCTTTCTTCTTCCTCTTCTTCTTTTCCTTTCCTCCTCCTTCTCCCTCCTCGTTCCCCTCCTCCTCCAAACGCGTCTACCGATACGTTAACAAAAGATAGATAGGGTTGAGTCTGACCACCCTCACCTGCCGCTTCTTGCTTGCCGCCACTGTTGGCGCAAGAACCCCGATAGCATTGACTGATCCCCCGAGCATATCACCGTTGATGGTCACATTTGTCGAATGGCTTGGCGGAGGCTTCCTCGCCTGTAGCCAGCGCCTAGCGAGCTCTTTATCGGGTCCCTACACACATCATTTCACAGAGATAAGCGCAGACTCGCCAACCGCACCGCGCACCGAAGGATATGCAGCGCACGGTGGGAAACCAGCGCCGCGTGGGCAAGCAGCCAGAAACAGCCGGACCAGGTAGGGGGCATGCTCCCGCGCTGGTATCAAGCTCGATGCGATAAACCCTTTGGCCGGTCGGTAGAGTAACCAAGCAGGTCATGTACCGAAACAACCAAACCAGCGCCGAGTGGGCAAGTAGCCGTAGACACAACCGGACCAAGTAGGGGGTGGTGTGCTCCAACGCTGGTCTCTAGCTAGATGCCATGAACTTCTGCCCGGTTTGTAGAAGGACCAAGTAGGTCCTCTGCCAAACCAAAGCAGTTGCGGCGATCCAGCACGGGGGTTTGCATCTTGAGGTAAGCGAGGAGAGCATCTCACAAACTCTGCTTTCCTGCCTGTTGGGAGAAGGGACACCCACACTTCAATGAGAGAACGAAGAGGGGGGGATGGGACACACCGTACGGTACCGGTCCATGAGGGATGCTGCATGGTCCCTAGCACTCTTGGGGAGGTTCTCGTCATCGACTAGACTATTCAACGACTTGATGTAAGAATCGATGGCCTTCTGATAAGCGTTGACGTCGACCAGTCCCGGGGCGCAGGCGGCGTTGAGGAATTTGACGATATCGACATCTTCCACTTGAACTGTCGCAAAGTACTCGCTCGCCATGGTGAGCTGGCTGGTGGTGAGGGCGGCGTAGGGATGGCAAGGAGGGCTAGCGAGATGGGGGGCGGGAAGAAGCGATGATGTCAAGGGGAAGTGGCGAGGGTGTTGAGGGGCTGGCTTGGCTGATGAGTCAGCTCTGTGGCTTGCCTCGGCCAAGGTTCCCCATGCGTTTCAAACAAACACATGCGCTAGACGCGGGGGTTAGTGTAGCATCCCTGTCTGAGTGCCAAGAAGCAGGCGTATCCCTTCGTCTGTTCCCGCGAATCACCACCACCTATTAGCGTCGAAACGGCGTCGTGATCAACCAAAATCTAACGACGATTGTTTAAAGCACTACTCGATTGAGGATTTTTGCGTGACGAGTGGAGACAATTTTGCACCGCCGACCACCGCTTCCAGCTAGGCAGTGAGTTTTGTGCGGTGAGCCACAAGTCCTGAATACAGACGAAGGGATGCGTCTACGAGACTTGCAATTGGCGAGTGTTGGTGATGATAAGTCTACAGCGATAAGAGCAGACAGCTAGTTAAAGCGAGGGTGTACGCCCGTCAGCATTTCGATGATTTGAATGAGGGCTCGCTTTGGGTGAGAGCATGGATAGGTGATCCCAGAGGTTGGAGCGTGTTGTGATTAACTTTGGCACTGTTCATTTCGGTGGGAGTTTTGGATTTGGCTGGCAGATTGCACCCGATGAAAGCAGTCATGTGCGAATTTATAATTAGGTGGTGATTGAGGCCGATGAAAGCTGTCATAGATTCGCGAGTTTAGGTTGTGATAAGGGCCGATGAAAGCTGTCATTTGCTTGTTAATTTTGGTGTGTTGCGGATTTGGCTGAGAGTAATTGTCTGTGGGGTTGCGAATTTTACTTGGAATTTGCGGCGATTAAGAGGTGTTCATTGCGGATTTCTATGGGGATCGCCCCTGGTGGGAGGTGTTCTTTGCGGATTTCGCTGGGGATTGCGCATGCGCCGAGTGAGAGGTGTTCTGTGGGAGTGTGCGGCGTTGAGAGGTGTCGTCTGACGCGGCGTCGATCGCCGATCGGCTAAGCCCGATCGGGTGTGGCGCCCGCTTGCGGACTGCGGATTTGTGTGTGGCCGCGCCCGCAAACCCGCAGTCGGGCCATACTGGTGAGGTTAGTAGACCTTGCTTGGAACTGCCTACATACTCGGGGCAGGCAAAAAGTACCGGACAATGCAAGTTTGTCTCTGGGCTTTTTCTGAAGTACATGTAGTTCACGCCTAGCACGCGCACCTATTGGTGAACCAAAAACCTGCATTGTCCGGGACTTTTTACTTGCCATGAGTAACATGTAGGTGTCCGGCCAATAACATAACCGGATCGGGCGATGCCGAATCGTAACGGTGCTTGTCACTTTAGGATTGCCCACGATAACAGTCTCAGCTGCTTGTCCACGGTAGCTCTATTAAACTCATATGAAAATAACCCAACCCGGGGATTTACCTGCCAGGACCGGAAACGCAGTTTCTTTTTTTTGTGTGTGTGAACCGAGTGATACGTTATGATTCACCTACTCTGTACCAGTTGAGGACGAATAGATAGCGCGTACGGGTCAAGATCACATGCCGGTGACGTCTTGTACGCACCTTGCAATTGCTGGATATGCGCTGTCCTTGGCTGGGTCAGAGCAGAAAATAAATACATGTACATATACTACATATATATATATATATATATGCAGCAGAGCAAAGGATCTCTACTAGTCGCAGCCCAATCACTATCTGGTACTGTGTATACATGAAACGTCTCGTTAATTACATAGCTCCTCGCTCCTTCAGCATCTGCACCACCTTCTCATGTCCCGCGGCCGCAGCCCACGACAGGGATGTTCTACCTTCCTCGTCCCGACTATCCACATCCGCACCGTTCTCGAGCAAGACCCTCACCACCGCCACGTGCCCCGCGTCCGCGGCCCTTGACAACGGCGTACGACCATCCTTATCCCGGCTTTCCACATGTGCCCCCTTCTTGAGCAACACCCGTACCACCTCCTCATGTCCCTCGGCCGCAGCCAACGACAGCGGTGTTCTACCTTCCTCGTCCCGACTATCCACATCCGCACCGTGCTCGAGCAAGACCTTCACCACTGTCTCGTGTCCCTCGCCCGCGGCCCTTGCTAACGGCGTATGACCATTCTTATCCCGGCTTTCGACATGTGCCCCCTTTTGGAGGAGCACCCGTACCAGTTCCCCGAACCCGTGCGCCGCGGCACTGGACAGTGGTGTTCGACCATATATGCCATCCGGAATATGCATATCTGCCCCCTTCTCGAGCAACGCCTGCACCACCTTCTCATGATCCCTCTGCGCAGCGTATGACAGCGGCGTACGGCCGTCGCCGTCCAGGCAATCCACAGCCGCCCCCTTCTCGAGTAACGCCCGCACCACCTTCTCATGACCCGTCTCCGCAGCGTATGACAGCGGCGTACGGCCGTCGCCATCCAGGCAATCCACAGCCGCCCCCTTCTCGAGCAACGCCCGCACCACCTTCTCATGCCCCCAATTCGCAGCGTATGACAGTGGCGTGAGGCCGTTGCCGTCCAGGCAATGCACAGCCGCCCCCTTCTCGAGCAACGCCCGCACCACCTTCTCATTTCCCCAAACCGCAGCGTATGACAGTGGCGTGAGGCCGTTGCCGTCCAGGCAATCCACAGCCGCCCCCTTCTCGAGCAACGCCTTCACCACCTTCTCATGACCCCACTGCACAGCATATGACAGCGGCGTACCGCCGTCGCCGTCCAGGCAATCCACAGCCGCCCCCTTCTCGAGCAACGCCCGCACCACCTTCTCATTTCCCCAAACCGCAGTGTATGACAGTGGCGTGAGGCCGTTGCCGTCCAGGCAATCCACAGCCGCCCCCTTCTCGAGCAACGCCTGCACCACCTTCTCATTACCCCTCTGCGCAGCGTATGACAGCGGCGTACGGCCGTTGCCGTCCAGGCAATCCACAGCCGCCCCCTTCTCGAGTAACGCCCGCACCACCTTCTCATGACCCGTCTCCGCAGCGCATGACAGCGGCGTACGGCCGTCGCCGTCCAGGCAATCCACAGCCGCCCCCTTCTCGAGCAACGCCCGCACTATCTTCTCTTCTCCCCGAGCTGCAGCGTATGACAGTGGCGTACGGCCGTCGCCGTCCAGGAAATCCACAGCGGCCCCCTTCTCGAGCAACGCCTGCACCACCTTCTCATGACCCCACTGCACAGCGTATGACAGCGGCGTACGGCCGTCGCCGTCCAGGCAATCCACAGCCGCCCCCTTCTCGAGCAACGCCCGCACCACCTTCTCATTTCCCCAAACCGCAGCGTATGATAGTGGCGTGAGGCTGTCGCCGTCCAGGCAATCCACAGCCGCCCCCTTCTCGAGCAACGCCTGCACCACCTTCTCATGACCCCTCTGCGCAGCGTATGACAGCGGCGTACGGCCGTCGCCGTCCAGGCAATCCACAGCCGCCCCCTTCTCGAGCAACGCCCGCACTATCTTCTCTTCTCTCCGAGCCGCAGCGTATGACAGTGGCGTACGGCCAGCGCCGTCCAGGCAATCCACAGCTGCCCCCTTCTCGAGCAAAGTCCGCACCATGTTCTCATGACCCCTCTCCGCAGCGTATGACAGTGGCGTACGGCCAGCGCCGTCCAGGCAATCCACAGCCGCCCCCTTCTCGAGCAACGCCCGCACCACCTTCTCATTTCCCCAAACCGCAGCGTATGACAGTGGTGTGAGGCCGTTGCCGTCCAGGCAATCCACAGCCGCCCCCTTCTCGAGCAACGCCCGCACCACCTTCTCATGACCCCTCTCCGCAGCGTATGACAGTGGCGTACGGCCAGCGCCGTCCAGGAAATCCACAGCCGCCCCCTTCTCGAGCAACGCCCGCACCACCTTCTCATGCCCCCAATTCGCAGCGTATGACAGTGGCGTGAGGCCGTTGCCGTCCAGGCAATCCACAGCCGCCCCCTTCTCGAGCAAAGCCCGCACCGCTTTTTCATGCCCGTTTCTCGCAGCAACTGCGAGCGGCGTGCTACCACCCAAATCCGGTACATTTATATCCGCTCCTCTCTCGAGTAGCAATTGCAGGCAACTCAGGTTATCGTTTATTACGCACAGATGGAGTATAGTGTCTCCGAACCAGTTAAAAGATGTTCCTTCGAAATTGACTCCTTCGTCCAGGAGTGATTCGACGATGCCACTCAGCTGGTAGTAACATGCAACCATCAAGGGTGTCAGTTGTTTACCCTCAACAGGCGCTAACCGCCTCTCCTCTTTGCTGATTCTTCCAACCCACTCATTGTATGCTCGACATGGTTGCAGAAACTTCGTCCAGAAATCCTTGAGAACATCACGTTCGCTATCCGATGACCGAACATGCGCCGCCCAGTTGGAGGTCGAGTATCCTTGCAAAGCCGGGCCTGGGGTGCCCGGCTCTGTCTCGTGCATGAGCGAGGTGAGACAGACGTCTGCCATCATTGTGTGGCTCTTCTTTGATCCAATCTCGGATAGTAGGAACTCCTGGACCGAGAAATGTGCGAACCGGAGAACCTCAAATCCCTCGTCAAATACAACAAGATTACAACAGATATCGAGAATTGTAGATTCTGTCAAATCGTTTTTACTCAATGAATAAGGCTCGGAAATAGCTTCGATAAGCTCCGCGGTGGAGAGCGGTCGCAAGGCATAGAGCATCCATGCCAATACTTTATTTGCCATATCCCTCGTGCGTTTACTCCCTTTCTTGTTGTTTATTCTCTTCATAATCTCCGAGTATGTTTCGTTTAAAGTTTCTGGCAACTCATCCAGAACCGTTAAGATGCCACCAAACGTTGCCTCCAGACATATCCGATCAAGCTGATATTTCACCCACAGAAACCTGGATGGATTTAGCATATTAGTCAATTTAAGTATGAAGAGGGGTGAAATGAGGACATACATCCCATGTGCCTTCTCACGCAGCTTTTCAGTTATCCTCTTTTTTAACTCATCGCTAATATGACCGCACAGAAACCGTCTTTTCGTCATATAAACCTCAATTTCTGAATCAATATAGAGATTGATGTCTTCAGTGTTATCCCTCTCTTGAATGAAAACATCTGGCGATCCTTCCAAGGCCCTTCTCAAGTCTGCGTCGTTTCGGCTGGTAACAAATATTTTGATGTTAAGCGTCGAATCCAGCACATGCTTTAGGATATCCAGGATCTTCCATCGCGTTTCTTCATAACATTCGTCGAGAGCGTCGATAACGATAGCGGTCTGGAGAAATCCTCCACAGAGCTTAACAAGAAGATCTTTGATTTCCACAATGTCAAGATTTCGACCAAGGTCATCGTCTGTAACTCGTTGCCTATATATGGACAGTAATGGCTCTGGGAGGCTAGCTGTAGGGCTTTGAAGACAGATCTGTTTAACAATCGATCTTAAAATCGATTCTGGCTCTCGACGCCCGGATTCTTTATAGTTGCAGTAGAAGTATGCTATGCAATGTTCGTTGTATTTGGGTCTCACTAGGTCAATGACATTGGATCTGATGAGTCAGTATGTGGGTATGAGAAGCTGGTGATGGACACATACGAAAGCAATGTTTTGCCGGAACCGGCTATCAAACGGTTCGTTAGCCTTAGCTCAACATGAAGCAGGAAAGAAAGCCAGCTCACGGGGTCCATGTAACCAAAAAAGCGACTTCGAGTCTGGCTTTTTCCACTGAAGAAAAGATTCTTTCTCAAGCAGCCATTTGCCAGTATCCGGATGGCGCAATGAGTTGACAAGTATATGATGCTCTTTGAAGGACATATTCGATATCCATCCTAATACCTTGGAGCGCTCATCGTCTACACATGTCAGAACGGATAATCCTCGGCACGTAAAGAAAACGCGACAAACCCTGCATCATTATGAACAACTTGTCAAGCTTAGATTCTATCCTACTGATAGGATATACCACACTTTCTAGGGTTTTAGCTAATCCCTCCAGCACCCGACTCTGACCTATCCCGAAATTAGTTATTTTCGCAGTTTTCATGCCAGACAAAACAAAACATACCCTCCTTCGCAGCTAGATCGGCTGCGTCTCTCACTTCCTTCTCTCCATCTGAAACATCCTTCAAGAGCTTATCCAGTTCTTTCCAAACTGCTTCTCCAATCCCTTGTGCGTATTGGCCTACGAAAACACATAAGCATATATAAATAGGTACCAAGTGGGGAGATAAACTTTACCTGTGCTATTACGACAAAAATATCTCCGGATATAACAAAGATATTTCAAGACTGATATATATAGGTTTTTCAAGGTTTCTTGAAGATTAGCCGAACCTTTAAGGCTTGATCCTTCAATATAAAGGCTCTCGTAGATATTGCAGTTACTCAGGATTCTCGAAAGATTTTCGATACTTTCATGGATAATTCTCGTGTTATCCACGCCTGCTGTAACGGCCTATAAAAAGAATTCAAAGTTATGATTCGCATTCTATCAACCCCTGCGCCCTAGTCAACACTTACCTTCAAGAGGAATTTTAAGACGCCCCATGGAGCAGACGCAATTGAAGGAAGTGCGGCGACTGTCGCATCCCCTACAGGCACTAGTTTCGTTAAATTTGTGAGACAGGCGCTCACTGAGTCTCTCACAAGTCTCTTATCGCCCCCTCGAGTTGTATAAGTCCACTGTTTATCCTCGCATTCGTTTTTCTTGCGCTCTATCTCCTTCACGAGCTCTTCAAGCACCTGCCTGATATCTTGATCAGTATTAATGCTGTCCAGTTCTTCCCGAGTCAACTTTTTGCTTTTGCGCGCCTCTTCCCAAAGAGATCTATATGTACTACGACTTCTCATTAGCCTTGACCAGAAAAATATGAATGACTTTAAATACCTTTGAACGGCCCTCGATGGCTCTGGAGGTTGCGACGGCAAAACCGAGCCAGGAACGGCGGGGCAAGGCGCTGGGGTGGTAACACTAGATAACGATGGATTGATTGATGTTGCCCCTGTTTCGGTCGGACCACCGGTAACGGGAACAATCGCTGCTGCTAAACTCTTGAGGGATATTGTTGGAGAGGCTACTTTTACAGCTGGTTGTGCTGTGGGAGCAGTGGGAGCAGTGGGAGCAGCCGGCACCTTTCTGGTTTTTCCAGTTGATCGTACGGATCCAGTAGTTGCTATAGCTGGGCGAGAAACAGGCCTAGCTGGTGGTATAGGGTTCTTCTTCTGTGAGGAAGATTGATCCTTAGCGTGAGAAGACTTCTTCGTCTTTGAAAAACACATGGCTGCCGCGTATAAAGGGCTCGAGCTTGGTGGACCTTTTGATACTGAGGTGTATTCGACGAGGAGATCCTTCGCATGTTAAGCTCTCAATCTCGAGCGCTGAACATTTGTTGTCACTACCTGGGGCTGACCTACCTATGTGCGTAGGCACCCGCAAGGCTCAACTGAACCAATTAACCTGCAGCCCATTTTCAAATAGGACCATGCAACTCGAACGCGCAACAGAAATTTAGAGTTGAGTACCGCCATAACTCGATAAACTGGCTAGCTCCTGATGCAGATCGACGCCATTCAACCAATCACTCGAACAATAATCCCTGGCCGGATATATGTATGTAGCCAATTTTTTCGAGTTTTGGCGGTAAGACTGCCTCAGTGCAACATTATTGGAGATTAGGGGCGCTTAGACATAGGTAGACGGCCAAAATTCACCAAATCATGTACTCTAGTACGGGATAGCAAATATTCCCAAGAAATCCGGGATAGAAAATTGATCTTGCAGTAGAAAAATAGAATTCCCAGAGGATTTCGGCACAGCAAGGGATCCGGCATATTGAGTTCCGCCAGCGCGAGAATCAAACCTTGATTTGATCCCTCTAACATGTACCGGGTGTGCACGTTAAATACCGAGACGCCTTGAAGGATTGGTTGATTTTGTATTGGAACCGCCCATGGTAACGTATTTGACTGGGAAGCCGACCGTGACCGGGTAACCGACCGCGTTCGTTTTTTCGCGCGCGCTCGATCATTGCCACGAGCGACCACGAGCGGGACCACGAGTGCCCACGATTGCCCACGATTGAGGCCCAAATTGGCTCTAAATTGGCTCTAAATAAATACAGTTTATTCTTTGTTAATTCTAGCCCTTATAAAGGGGTATAAAATTTAATCCTGAACCCTTTTTGAAGGTACCCTCTTCCTACATGATCTTCTACTGCTAGTATCCTCAACTATCACCTTTGACCACTCTGAATCTTCCACCTCCTCAACATCTAGACTAGTATCTATAGAATGTACAGAAATATTTTCGCTTATAGTAACTCTTTTGCCCAATGACCTCTTTTTGACTTCCCTAGCCAAAGCCTGTGCTGCTTTTTTACTGTCTGCAGCATCTCTAGCCTTTTTAAGCCTCTCCAAATCCTCAGTAGTAATTACTCTTGCTTTACTGAGTTGTTTTCTGTCTTTAGTAGAGGCTTGGCTCGCTTTTTTGGCTACTGATTTTCTGAACTGAGCATGTACATGATCACCTATTTCCTTCTCTGTTAAAGATATTTGCAGGCCTTTGTCCAGTTGCTTTACTAGAGTGCGCAATTTCTCGGCGCTTTTTGAGCCTCCTCTTATTAGTGCTAATGCTTGACTTGCAGTTGACCTCGCCATTCTGGTGTTTTTGGGTCTGGTGGGTCCTGAGACTACTAGTACAGTGGATGCACTAAGCGGGGTTGGCTGCAAAACCCGGCGGGGATTATAGGGCATTATTCCTGTTTTGGCTCATGGTGTCAGGATATTATGAGAGGTATAGGTTCTCCTTCTAGCTTCAAATAGATAGCTAAAACATGTTAGCCAATTCACGGCGATGCGGGGCGGGCTCGACGTGGTTCAGAAAGGTCTCGGCGTAGGGGCCATAACCTACTTTAGGAAGGTTCCTTTATTGATGCCGGTATCAACTCCAGACTGTTCCATAGCCTCATCTAAAACATTAGAATAATGTTTTTGTAATGGTCCAAACAATCCCAAATCAAGTGGCTGTAACAAGTGGGTGGAATGTGGGGGTAGACAGAAAGGAATGATTTTATTGTTGAAACAATAATCAAAGAACTCCCAAGTGGTATGTGATGCATGTCCATCTAGTATTAGGAGGCGCCATCTATCTTGTGCCCTATAATTCAATTAGTACTACCCAACTAATAATACTTTTATAAGTGCGGTGCTCTCGGCATGCGGCGTTCGCTATCGTTCGGCGTGCGGCGTTCCTTATCACTCAACATTAATAGGTAGGACTTACATTTCAGATATGTATTTATCAAAATTCTCAACCAACCAATCCATCCCTAGCTGTGAATCCGTCCAACCCTTTGGGGAATAGGCAAATGTCGCGATATCTCGATGCTCTACCCCTGCATACCAGCCCTTATAATGAGCCGTACCTTGGTTGATAATCATAGGCGGTAATGCTACCCCCGTTCCAGAAACTGCTTCAATGACTGTCACCCATTTGCGATTGCCGGAATGTGTGAGGTGAGGATTTTTCCGTCCTGCTCTGCAAATGACTTTCACTTTTGCACACATGCCTATCATAAAACCCTTTTCGTCCATATTATATGTATCCTTCGGTAGGACGTCGTATTTGGCCGTCACCTCCTTCAACTATAAGCAGTTAGCAAAATTCGAAATTGAACTAATGCGGGGCGCAGATCGTCCGCCTCGGCGATGGCGGCTTGCATATGCCTAATACCTTTTTGTAAAAGTCCCTTAATAATTCTTGGTTATTTGTTACCGCCCTCTGCCTGTCTAAACGTCCACTAAACCTGGAGCTAAGCTCTGGGTTCCGGTCCAAAAATCTGCCCAACCAATGTTGTCCTAGCTTGTGCCCTGGGCCCTTCCGTTTAGAGACCAAATATGCGGCTAACTCCTTCACAAGAGATAGTCTCAAAGGAAAACCCCAATCATCCATGCGTTGACACCATCTCACTATGCATCCTTCTTCATCCTCATTTAGCAATTGTTGTGTCCTGTTTGCCTCTCGCCTATTTTGTTCTCCATTTAGCCTATCTCGAAGGGTACTCCAAGAGATACCAAAAGTCTCGGCGGAAATCCGGAGACTTGCAGAGTTACCTGATTCCCTGTAGTGGGTCATTGCCTTCTCAATCAATTTTTCACGCTCCTCCCATTTTTTACCCTTAAGTCTCGGCATTTTGAACTCTGAATGATGGTGGGAACTTGAATGCTAGCGTATAACGTGGGTCTGTGGACGATGGACTATAGTGCCAAGGAATACAACCGAGGCAAGAACGTAGTAGAAGATCTTCGTAGCTATGGACTATGGGGTGGTTCAATCCTGATCCGAGATCCAAGACGAGCCCTATGACGTAGCGTGGAACAAAAGTAATATTCGTGGAATAAATACAGAGGTTGCGTAAAGAAAGAAGGAAAGAAAGAAAACATATAAAGACACAAGACAACGCCTCCTTATATACCCAACCATAGTCCAACGATGACTAATACCTTCGCATAACAGAAACTAAAAGAACATAACAGAAACTCCAATTACAAATCCTAATCCCACCACACAATATCTTCCCTTCCCGTTCCAATTCATCACCCAACCGAAATACATAGTTGCCATTACAGACCACGCCCCCCTCTAAGGCCTACCTCCTGGTAGGCTTAGGTTTCTCCGGATAACGCTCGTGGAATCGTTTGACAATGTTAGGTGAATGTTCAAGGTCCGATAGTGGTTGCCAGGAGGCTTCATCATATCTTGTATATCGTACCTAGTACTCAAACCTTCCTCTTCGTTTCCTCGAATCCAAAATATCTTCAACTTCCCATTCTTCCTCTCCTTTGATCTCAACCGGAGGTGGTGGTAACTGTTGTTGTCCAGGTAAAGGATTACCTGCTTCGGGAGACAGTAATGAAACATGAAATACTGGATGTATTTTCATTGACCGGGGAAGTTCCAATTCATAAGCATAGGGGTTGACAATCCGCTTAATGCTATAGGGTCCGATACGTTTCCAATCGAACTTCTTGGAAGGTCGCTTCGTTAGAATATGGCGTGTCGATAGGAAAACTTTATCTCCTAAATTGTAGCGAGGGGCTGGGGTTCGGTTCGCATTGGCGGATTCTTCTTGTATTCTTTGCGCTCGGAACATCTCGTCCTTTAGGAATTCCACTATCTCTTTCATTTCCCGTGCAATGCTATTAGCTTGGTCTTCCGCTGTCGTTCGACCATGTTCCAAAGGACCAAAAGTCATCCTTGGATTTCTTCCCGAATTAGCATAAAAAGGAGAGACTCTTGTTGTTTCCGAAGCATGATTGTTTGTCGCAAATTCGGCCATTGGTAGCAATCGAGTCCAATCGTCCTGTTGATAAGATACATAGCTTCGAAGGTATTGCTCCATTACAGCATTGATTCTTTCCGTTTGTCAGTCTGTTTGAGGATGAAATGCAGTAGAGAATTTCGACGATATTTCCAGCCGGTCACAAAGTGACTTCCAAAACTCCGCAACAAACTGTGTTCCTCGATCAGATACAATGGTATTGGGTAGTCCATGTAGCTTCCAAACGTTATCGATATATAGCCTCGCTACTTCTTTTGAATTTGCCTCTTTAGTCGTTGGTATTAGATGTCGCATCTTGGTTAATCTATCCACCACAACCAAGATTGCATTGTATCCATCGCTCTCAGGGAGATCAGTAACAAAATCCATCGATATATCCATCCACGGTCCCTCAGGTATCGACATAGGACGGAGTACTCCATAAGGTGCATTGCGTGGTGCCTTGCTGCGGGTACACACATCGCAGTTCCTAACGTACTGGTCGACATATTTTCGCATTTGTGGCCAATAATATTCTCGGTTTAGAAGTCCCAATGTTTTTGCTCTACCCGGATGTCCTGCAGATGGTTTATCATGATGTTCTTTTAAAAGCCTTAGTCGAAGGTCATTGTCGTCTGGTACATATAGCGCGCCTCGATAAAGTAACCGACCGTTGTTGTCTTCCGTACATTCGGCAAGTGAAATTTTATTCGAATGGCGAACGCCGTTCCGAAGCATAGCGAGAATCTTATTTGGGAAACTATCAACTTGGTAAGCCTTTGAAAATAACTCCTCTACAGTGGACGCTCCTTCAGCGGATTCATTTGACAAAGAACCCGCGAACAAACTTAGCTTAGTATCCAAATTTTTTCGCTTCAAAATCACCTGACTCTGATGCGTCAACCGTTCATCCCCCTCTTTAGGTAGGTCACCTGACCTTCTAGTTAATGCATCTGGTTTTGTTCCTTGTTTTCCTGGCCGAAATTGTATAACGAAATCAAAACGTGAAAGGAATTCGGACCAACGGGCCTGTCGACGATTTAATAATTTTGTTGTCATAAAATATTCAAGATTTCGATGGTCGCTAAGAACTTCAATTGGAAATTGAGCTCCCTCCAGGTGGTGTCGCCATTCTTCGAAGCATCGTATAATTGCTAAAAGTTCTTTGTCATAGATTTCATAGTTGCACTCCGCAGGGGAATGTTTCTTGGAGAAGAAAGCGACTGGATGTAGGATTTCTTCGTCATCACGTTGAGATAGGATTCCTGCTGAAACATAATCAGATGCATCGGTTTCTATCACAATTTTCCGATCCGGATTAAAATGAACTAGTGTCGGTGCCGTAGTAAACATCTTTTTCAAAGTTTGAAATGCTTCCTCCCTATCATCCGTCCATTCGAATTTAACGTTTTTCTTGGTCAAGGCTGTAAGTGGAGCAACAATTTTCGAATATCCTAAAATAAACCGTCGATAGAAATTTGCAAATCCTAGAAATACTTGAACATCATGGAGGTTTGTCGGTGTGGACCATTCCAAAACATCGATAACTTTCTTTGGGTCCATTCTATTTCCATTCGGAGTAAGAATTAAACCTAGATATTTCGTCTCTTGAACCATAAATTCACATTTTTCAGGTTTAAGGTGAACATGATTCTCATCAAGTACCTTTAGAACCTTTCGAATGTGTTCTTTATGTTCTGATAGAGTTTCGGAGTAGATGAGGATATCGTCTAAGTATGCCGTTACGAATTGATCGAGGTAGGGACGTAAGATATCATTGATCCAATGTTGAAAAGTAGCAGGAGCATTAGCTAATCCAAACGGCATTACTGTATATTCGAAATGTCCATATCGAGTCCGAAATGCCGTCTTCCATTCGTCCCCTTCCGCTATTCTGATTTGATTATATCCCCAGCGTAAATCCAACTTGGTATAGTATTGTGCTCTTGACAACTTAGCTAAAGTTTCCTTTAACAATGGTAGTGGGTATCGATTCTTGATTGTAATTGCATTTAGGCCTCGATAATCAACACAAAGTCGAAGGGTTCCATCGTCTTTCTTTACAAACAATATAGGTGCTCCCGCTGGTGACTCACTAGCCCGAATAAATCCTTTAGGTAAATTTTCATCAAGATATTCCCGTAGTGCTTTCAACTCGATTTGAGACAATCCATATATAGGTCCATATGGTGGTCGTTTGCCTTCTTCTAATACTATTTCGATATCATGGGATGGTCGGTGGAGTGGAAGAATTGAAGCGTCATATTCCTCGAACATATGGAGATGACGGTGAAATTCCTTTGGTACTAGTTGTTTAATGTCGATGGTAGATTTCTCGGTTGCTGAAACGATAACTGTATGGTTTTCCGGTAAAGGAATCGAGATGCCATGAACAATAACTGTAGTCCCATTAAGTGAACAGTGTTGACAACAGCTTCGAGAATCGAAAATAAGTAGATTTTCCTTTGGTCGAATCGTAACATCATGACGTCGCATCCAAGGTATCCCCATCACAATCGGATAGTGTCCTAACTTCGTCACAAAACATGGTGCAGTCTCTTTGTGACCATGAATGTCCAGTGAAACATCGACAATGTGGGTAATTTTTCCTGATTTGATAGGTCTTCCGTCTATAACGTCTACATGGCGAGGTATCTTGAGCGGGGTCATTGTAAGGTTATTGTGGCGTACAAAAGATTCATCAATGAAAGCGTATCCTGATGCTCCGGTATCAATAAGAGCGTAAGTGGGGATGAAAGAATTTTTATTTTGTGAAATCGAACAAGTTACTACAAGTTGATTTCCATCCATTTCCTCCTCTGATACCGAAAACCCAGAAATACACATCCTAGAAAAATCTTTAAACGGTCCCTGTGCTAAGCCACTTAGTGCAGGGACAAATCTTTTGCCGACTCATTATCGCTTCCATCATTTTCCTCCACCGTCAATGCTGCTCCCCTCATCACAGGTCTTCTTGGTTGATTTCCACTTGCCCTCGCTTGGGGACAATCCCTAACCATATGCCCAACACCTCCGCAATAGAAACATCGGCCCTCAACTAAGCGGGCATTTCTTTCGGCAGGGGAGGGGCGACGACGTCCTCCAGACAGATCCATTGGTACAACACCTCCCGGGCGGGACGAGGGATGAATTTCCGTAGCAGGTACATTAGCGGCTGGGGCGGCAGCACGGGGAGCAGGAACAGGATTTACTGGTGGGGGACGAGGGGCCGGGGTAGTAGTAACATTCCAAGGCTTTTTATTTCCTCGTTTAGCCTCCGCCGCATGACGACGATTATCCAACCGTTGTAAGAGTGTCGCACAGGCATCTACCGTCGCAGGAGTGTCATGGTGTATCATTGATTCATCGAGTTCCCCATTAATACCTTCCATCAAAGCCTCGATTCGAGAGGCTTCATCCATACCCGACTCAGCAGCATATCGTTGGAACTCAGCAAAATAATCGGCGAACGTTCGATTTCGTTGACGAATGTTCCGGAGGTTCCTCCTAGCCGTGCGCATCCGATCGGGGTCCCCAAAAGCAGTGTCCAAAACCTCATAAAACCGTACCATAGAGGGCAAGGTAATACTTCCTTCCCCAACATACTGTAAGAACTGATTGGCAGCAACACCTTCCAATCTACTGAACGCATAGGATAATTTCGACTGTAGGGTGGGATAGCGATCGGCATTTCCCAATAGTTTAATTTTCATCTGTTGCTTGAATAGGTGTAATCTTTCTCGATCGCGATCTCCCCTGAACACCTCAGGATCCGGAAGCTTTTCTGACCGATAGGTAGCATCTGTAGTAAGTGGTACTGGGGGTGCAGGTGGAGCATTGTCCTCGACAGGTGCTCCCTCAGGGGCAACAGCCTGGGCAGCAGCAAGATCTCGTTCAAACATTCTTCTCGCCCTCTCAGCCTCCGCTTCTATCTCTTGTAAATCCGTTGCATACTGAGCAAGACCATGTTGACACTGTTGGAGAAGTGCATAGGCTTCGGCCCCGATAACATCATTGACCTGTGGATGTTCTTGAAAAAAGGTTTGGAGGCTGTTGCTGAGTTGTTGATAATCAATAGGAGCATGTCCCGACATTGTAAACTATGGTGTTGTATTGGTTGGCGATAGGGGACGCAACCTACGTATAACGTGGGTCTATGGACGATGGACTATAGTGCCAAGGAATACAACCGAGGCAAGAACGTAGCAGAAGATCTTCGTAGCTATGGACTATGGGGTGGTTCAATCCTGATCCGAGATCCAAGACGAGCCCTATGACGTAGCGTGGAACAAAAGTAATATTCGTGGAATAAATACAGAAGAAGAAGAAGAAACTTATATTGCTTTGAAGTACAAGACTTATCGCACGCCGACCCAACCGCCTAAAACACAAACCAAAACAAAAGGAACAAAGAACAAAGAAAAAGAAAAAAGAAAAAAGAAAAACAACAAACACGAACAGACACACCAACAAGAACAGAAACAAACACGAACGAACACAAACAAAAGTAAGGAATTTCCAGAACGACGCTCAACCAGAAACAACCCAACGACAAGGAGAAATAACATATCTCAGCGAACTCGGGCGCTGGATCCATCAAAACAAAGTAAAACCAAAGTTAAAGGGTAAAAAAAGGAAACCGCCCTTCCTAATCCCGTCCCTAATCATTTCCTTCCATCCCCTCTTCTAGGTCCACCTCCGCTTCCGCCGACTCGTACCATTTCGAGAGTTGAGATTTCTTTGCAAATTGTAGGATAAGGTCCGTTTCCAGGTTTGTGAAGATCCAGTTTTCCCAGGTCATCGCTCCGGGGATCTTCTCTATCAGGGGGGCACGGATTCGAGCCCACGCTGGGCATTCCATAAGTGTGTGTTTCGCTGAGTTTTCCATACCACACTGGCATGGTTCGGGTTCTGTATGTACCGCATGTTTATCGATTCGGGTAGTTTGGCACCGGATTCGAAAAACTTTTTTTGCTTCCGTTAGGGTGAGTTTCGCAATCTTGGAAGGGGGGCGGAATTCCCCCCGGTGATGGTAGTCCGGTATTGGTTGTGTATTCCATTCTTCCAACAGGTGGTCGCGTAGTAGTTTGTTTTGATTCCACTTGTCTCTCGCATTTCCGGGGGTTTGATATGGGAGTAGGAGGGAGGCGATTCGGTGTAGGCCTGTCCCTTTGATGTTTGCTTCTCTGTATGGGAGGAGCTCGATCAGGGATTCATTGTTGGGGTGGGTTGCCTCGGTGCAGAGTATTCTGGTTCCATACTTTCTTGAGCGATAAGTTAGGAGGTGTTCTAGGGGGGGTAGGCCTGCTTCTCGGAGGAGTTTAGCTCTCTTGGTCCATCGAGGTAGGCCCGTGATGATCCGGGCAGCTTCGTTGTATAGTGGTTCGAGCGATCTAATGATATGGTCTGCGCCAGTCCACCAAGCCTCAGATCCATAGAGCAGGCTTGGAAGGAAGCCTTGTGATATTAGGTGATGAACTGTCTTGACTGTTATCCCTGGCAGGCGGGCAGTGTTTCGGATTTGGTGGAGGGCTTTTAGGCCTTTTGCGATTGCTGCTTCAATATGGGGCCGGAAGGAGAGGGTCGGATCTATCCAGACTCCTACGTACTTCAGCCTCTCTTTGGGATATATATTGATGTTGTTGACTTTGACTGGAAGTCGTGGTTGTTGTGTGGATGATGTGGTGGGCCGGAAGAAGATCAGATCGGATTTATCCGGATCGTATTTGATTTGGAGTGGCTCAGCTTTAATTAGTCTTTCTCTCATTCGTTCCTCCATTCTCTTAATTATAAAGCCTGGTGTTTTGGATATTTGCACCAGCGCATCGTCATCAATATAAGTTGTATCCATCTCTTTCGGGCTGCTAGTTGGGTCTAGAATTACTCCGGCATAGATCATGAATAGTACCGGAGACATGGGGCTACCTTGCGGCACTCCAGAATCATAGGGCTGTGGTTCCTCTAGCTCATGGTTGAATTGGAACTGTAGTTTTCTGCCGGTGTTGAATTCCTTGCACCATTCTGTCAGATAGGTGGGGAATTTTTGTTGGTGCATGATTTCCGCGAGGAGTAGGTGATCGACACAATTAAATGCTCCTTGGATGTCGTTGGTTAGGATCGCTGGTCTATCTCGTCGGGCGATTCCGGTGCTGTTTTTCAGTAGTAGGTTTTGTTGTATTGGTGTCAAGGTTCTCAGGAGGGCGTCGATTGCCGAGATGGTTGGTCTTCCTCCGAATTGGTTTGCTGAGAGTGTGCCTAGGATTTCTCCAGCGGTGCAGAGTCTTTGGGCCACTATCTTCTCCAGGATTTTGCTGAAGCATTGTAGAAGGGAAATGGGCCGGTAGGCTTTCGCTTCATGATAATTTGCTTTACCGGGTTTCGGGATTGGGATACACTTAGCTATTTTCCATTCAGCTGGGTGTACACCGTGCCGGAGCATAGCGGAGAACATATCTTGGATTAGAGTTGTGTTTGCTTTGACTATTGCTTTAATAAAGGTATAAGGGATGCTATCCGGGCCGGTCGCCGAGTGCGCTGGACAGGAGTCGATTGCTTTGTTAAGTTCTTCGGGGGTGACTGTGTCGAAGGTGTTGCTAAGGTCAAAAGAGGGGGGTCTAATGTTCAAGGGGGGATGGTCGGGGGACGTCCGTTTCGAGGGGAAAAGTTGGGCTCTTAGAGCTTGGCACTTCCCCGCAAACGTTTCTTCACCTTGTATAGTTGGTATGATTGTGTCTCGTCTCCTTCCTGCGCTTAGGACTCTCCAGACTTCACTACCTTTCGCCTCGTTCATCGTCTTTTCCCGCTGGTCCGCTTTTGCTTTCCGGATCATGACTGTCCATTCTCTGCAAGCCTTCCGGTGTTCCTCCACGTGATTGGGTTTCCTTGTATTTCTCGCCTTCCTTTCTGCTGCGTTTACCCTTGCCTTCATTTGTTTCATCTCATCTGACCACCAGGAGTTGGCTCTTACCCCCTCCTTCGAGAGTGGTGTTACTATGCTGACTGTTGACCTGACCAGTTCTAGGAAGAAATCGACAGTTTGTTCCGTATGTTCCTTGGTTTCCCATGCCTCTGCAGGGATGGAAATGTTTGACATGTGGTTCTTCAATAGCTTCCAGTCTGTTTGTCGCCACATTCGTCTTGGTACAAAAGGTGGTTTTTCCAGGTGTAGGTGGACGGAGGTTCTCCCGTGGTCTGAGCCCGCTCCATAGGGTTCAGTGCTCCATCGTAGGTTGTGGTCAAGTGTTGGGCCTTTTACAAATGCAAGGTCGATGGTCGTGGGCCTTTTCCCTCTGTCTCTGGGGAAGTGCGTAAAGACGCCTGGTTCGTTCAGGAGGGTCAGTTTCTGTCGGGTTATCCATCGTTTTAACCGTGCGCCGTTGACGCGGTCTGCCCGGATGTTGTTTCTATATTCATGTGAATTTACTCCGTACCACATTTGATGGTGGCAGTTGAAGTCTCCCATCACTAGACAGTTATCAAGGGTTTGGATTGTACTTGCTATTTGAGCGAAGGGGCCACTTCGGCCTGGGGAGTATATGTTTAGGATTTGGGTTTTCCTGGTTTGGATTTCTACCGTAATCGATACTATGAAGTTATCATGTGTATAATGGTGTTTTGGTTTGAGGTTGGCATGTTTGCGGACGTATGTTGCGCATTTCGTATTGATATTGCTGGCTGTGAAAAGGTAAAAGAGATTTGATTCTGGTGGGTATCCCTCTGTTGAGGTCCATGGTTCTTGTAATAGTAAGAAATAAATGCTCGAGTCTGTTTCTGCTTCTTCCACCGCCGCCTTGGTGATTAGTTCGCTCCGTGCACAGTTAAGTTGGTGTGCGAGCGCGGTTGTTCGAGGCCTAAGCATTATTTGTCATGGGTTGGTCGTCTTCGGGAACGGGTGTGGCTCCGACTGGGGCGGTGGCTGGTACTTGAACTATCGGAAGCAACTCTTGGACGGGTGCGGCCGGTGGGTCTTGAGCGGGTGGGGCGTTTTCCTTTCCTTTGTTGAGGAATCGGGGTTTGACTCTTTCGGGGCATGCTGGATCGGAGGCCTTATGGATTCCTTTACAGTTCAGACATCTGATTGGGGTGTGGGTGCATCTATATCCTCCCTGGCATTGATTGCATGGGTGGAAGCTAGTGAGATGATCTCCGGCACAGTGACCGCATCTTCCATTGTTTTTACATTTCTCCTGGCGGTGACCGTATTCGAGGCACTTCGCACACTGGGTGTCTGGGAAGGTCGGGAGGAAGGCCTCGATGTGGCAGCTTCGGTTGAAGAGAGATAGAAATTTAACTCCTAGTGTTTCCATTGTAATTTGTCCTGGGAGCGCGATGACCATTGATGAGTGGGTTTTTTCCATTCGAGTTTCTGCCCTGGAGATCCAGCGGGGAACCTGGGCAAGTTGGAAGTTCTCTCCATAGTTGCTTCTGATTTCTGATGCTACCAGTTGTCCCGCCTCAATGCCCTCCCCGACCGTTGTAGGGATTCCATGGAGGAGAAACTTTGACCATTTTGAGTTTGCGCGGATGACAGCGACCGGTACCTGTAGGGTGAGGAGGGCCTCCTCAATTTCTTTGGCATATTCCATTGCCTTTGTTGCAGGGGTGACGAATTTTGTTTCCAGGATGAAGTTGTCCTTGGGTGTTCTTCTTGCCGAGATGAAATGGCAGGACTCGTCTTGGATTCTTGCGTTGACGAGGGTCCTGATCTCGGAGGGGTTAACGTCGGATGGGGCAGTAGTTTCAACAATGATCTCCCTGTTGATTTTTGTGTACTCTGGTTTGAAGAGGGGGTCCGTTTTTGGCTTTGCGGACTTCTTTTTCCTCTCGATGACCTGAAAGTCTCCTTGGGCAGGACCGGGTGCCGAGGCCACGGCGGCCCAGGTGCCTGCTTTCCATCCACGAGGTGGGGCTTGTTGGGGGGGTGTGGGTGGGGGGGCCTGAGGAGCTGCCTGTGGCGCTGCTTGGGGAACTGTTTGTGGGACCGCTGGAGGGGGCATTCTTTGTCCTTGCGGTTGTTGTGGTTTTCGCTGTTGTTGCTGTTGTTGCTGTTGTTGCGGTTGTTGCGGTTGCTGCGGTTGTTGCGGTTGTTTGTTGA